TAATTTGCCCTAAGAAAAAATAGGTAGGGAAATTACATCCTACCATTTGTGAAATCTCCTCCTTAAGTAAGGTTGACTTGTCAACAAAAAGCTGCCCAATTGCCTTAGACACATCTTTTGCACCTTCCTTCCTTGTGATATGTAGTTTCCTCTGCCTTTCAACCAAGCGTTGACCATCACTCTTTTGCTCCTAACTACCCATTTCCTTGGGACCTTTTTTTTCCCCCTTTTAACTAACATTTGCACAACAAAAATATATAATTCCTCATCTGGTTATAATTTAGTCAAAGTAATAGTTAATTACTGTGTGTTCATTTTATAAATCACAAAATTTGTGTTAATAATGAGTAAATAAATATTAAGTACATCAATAATAAAAAAAATAAAAAAAAACACTTACATATGTGATGATGTTTTCCCTTTTACTTATGAAAGCAAGGTCATTTTAATATTTGTGTTTGGTAATTGGAATGACTAACAGAGCAACGGGTTTGGTGAAGAGTTACTAATATAAAGTTTGGTGAGAATAAAAATAATGTTATATTATTTAAATTAGCGTCATGATTTTGGAATACTAATCTTGTTAGGTACAGGTCACCGGCCAGAAAAATTTACGTATTACGCCTAAGTAAGAAAAATTGAAGAATTTTCATATATAAAAAATAAATGTCATTTACATATTTAAAAGGAAAAATCTCAATGTCTAAGATTTTTATTCGGTTAAAATACTATTTTGGTCCATATACTTTCAACCTTTATTTTAGTCTATGTACTTTTAAAATGTTAGTTTTGGTCTATACACCTTTAAAAAGTAAACATTTTGGTCTTATTTTTGAAAAATTTTAGCACAAATTCTATCCATAATGAAAATTCTTTGATATAAAGTCATGGTTGCATTTCAAGAAAAATAATGAGTATACTGTCGTGTCATGTTGGAATTGTGATAGAAAAATAAGATTAGAAATAAAATTAAGGGACCAAAATGGTCACTTTTTAAGTGTACAGTGACTAAAACTAACAATATAGGAACTAGAATGAATCGAAGTTAAAAGCACATCAACTCAAATAAATACTTTGAAAGTACGAGATCGAAATAGTATTTTAACCTACAAATTTTTATAATTACCAATACGACCAACATAACTTATATGGATAAAAAGCACATATCTTATCATGATATTCGACTCTTACATTTGTTGAACAAATTAAGATTTTTTTTTTAATATTTAATCTCATGATATTAAGAGTGAAGTAGTAAATGAAAAAAAAAAAAAGAATGGAGTCTACAATCACCCAAATTTGACTAAGGGAAAGTAATAATAAGAAATATGTTATGGAGTTTCTGCGCACCAACCACCATTTGATGGTGGTGTTTCCTTTCCCATTACTCGCCCACCAGCGCGCGCCAATGACCAGATTGAATATGGCGTTTTGCTGCCACTATTTCTTATTCTTCACCAACCCCACCAATCCCCTCTTCATCTCTCTATTTAACCCCATTCCTCTTTCTCATCTCCACAAGCTCAACCATCTGATCTCAAATTTCTTCACTCTCCAATTCATTTCATTATCCCAACTAATTCCTTATTCTTTCTTCTTCTTTGCAACCTTTCATCATTCTTTCGACAATGGCCGCCCTCCAGAAGATTGATTCGGTTGAGAGCTTGTGCCACAGCCGTAGTGATCCACTCAACTGGGGTTTAGCGGCAGAGTCTCTCAAGGGAAGTCATCTTGATGAGGTGAAGCGTATGGTGGAGGAGTATCGGAGGCCCGTGGTGAAGCTTGGAGGGGAGACGCTCACTATTTCCCAAGTGGCTGCCATTGCTACTCGGGACTCTAATGTCTTAGTGGAGCTGGCCGAGTCCGCGAGAGCGCGGGTCAAAGCTAGTAGTGATTGGGTGATGGAGAGTATGAACAAAGGGACGGATAGTTATGGTGTTACTACTGGATTTGGTGCGACATCCCATAGGAGAACTAAACAAGGTGGAGCTCTCCAGAAGGAGCTTATTCGATTCTTGAATGCTGGGATCTTTGGAAGTGGGGCTGAGTCGAGCCATACTTTGCCTCACTCGGCGACGAGGGCGGCAATGTTGGTGAGAATTAATACTCTCCTTCAAGGCTACTCGGGTATTAGATTTGAGATTTTGGAAGCCATAACCAAGCTTCTCAATAACAATATCACTCCATGCTTGCCACTTCGAGGAACGATTACTGCTTCTGGAGATCTTGTTCCTCTTTCTTACATCGCAGGATTGCTCACTGGCCGACCAAACTCCAAAGCAATTGGACCAAATGGAGAAAGTCTTGATGCAAAGGAGGCTTTCAAACAAGCTGGTATTCCTACTAGCTTCTTTGAATTGCAACCTAAGGAAGGTCTCGCTCTTGTCAATGGTACTGCGGTTGGTTCTGGATTGGCTTCTATTGTTCTCTTTGAGGCAAATATTTTAGCTGTTTTGTCAGAAATTTTGTCTGCCATTTTTGCTGAGGTTATGCAAGGTAAGCCTGAATTTACTGATCACTTGACCCATAAGTTGAAGCACCATCCTGGACAAATTGAGGCTGCTGCAATTATGGAACACATTTTAGATGGAAGCTCTTACATGAAAGCTGCCAAGAAATTGCATGAAATTGATCCTCTCCAGAAGCCAAAACAAGATCGTTATGCTCTTAGAACTTCTCCTCAATGGCTTGGTCCATTGATTGAAGTTATTCGGTTCTCAACGAAGTCTATTGAGCGAGAGATTAATTCGGTCAATGACAACCCTTTGATTGATGTTTCAAGGAACAAGGCTTTGCATGGAGGAAACTTCCAAGGAACTCCAATTGGAGTTTCCATGGATAATACTCGTTTGGCTATCGCTTCAATTGGAAAGCTTATATTTGCTCAATTTTCAGAACTTGTCAACGATTTCTACAACAATGGCTTACCTTCAAATCTCTCGGCAAGTAGAAACCCAAGTTTGGATTATGGATTCAAAGGTGCTGAAATCGCCATGGCTTCTTATTGCTCTGAGCTTCAATATCTTGCAAACCCAGTAACTAGTCATGTCCAAAGTGCTGAACAACATAATCAAGATGTCAACTCTCTTGGTTTAATCTCATCGAGGAAAACAGCTGAGGCGATTGACATTTTGAAGCTCATGTCTTCCACATTTTTGGTTGCTCTTTGCCAAGCAATTGACTTGAGGCACTTGGAAGAGAACTTGAAGAACACAGTAAAAAATACAGTGAGCCAAGTGGCAAAAAAGATCCTCACCACGACCTCTAATGGTGCACTCCATCCTTCAAGATTTTGCGAGAAAGATTTACTTAAAGTAGTTGACAGGGAATACACTTTTGCTTATATTGATGACCCATGCAGTGCTACTTACCCATTGATGCAAAAACTGAGACAAGTTCTTGTCGAGCATGCTTTAAGTAATGGCGAAGATGAAAAAGATGCAATCACTTCAATCTTTCAAAAGATTGGAGCTTTTGAAGAGGAATTGAAGGCCATTTTGCCCAAGGAAGTGGAACGTGTGAGGTTGTCGTATGAAAATGGAGATGCAACAATTGAGAATCAGATTAAAGAATGCAGATCTTATCCATTATACAGGTTCGTGAGAGAAGAGCTGGGAACTAAATTGCTAACTGGGGAGAAGGTTATATCTCCCGGAGAAGAGTGCGAAAAGGTTTTTGCGGTATTGTGTCAAGGAAAGATGATTGATCCAATTTTGGAATGCTTGAAGGAGTGGAACGGTGCCCCAATTCCCATCTGTTGATGGCTACAGGTCCAAGTGGGAATTGAATCAATCAAACATGAGGTCCAACATAAAAATTAAAAACTAATGTTGTATTTGTTAATGTCAACTTTTCTTCATTTCATTTTGTATCAATCAAAAGCAAGTAAAAAGAATTACTTGAAAATTTTCAATTAAATGTATTTTGACCCAATTTATAAATTAGTGAAAAAAAATTACCATGACGTTTGATTCTATATAAAAAATAACTTTAAGAAACTGAAACAAATTAAATCAAGCAGCCAATTTCAACAGAATTATTAACAGAAACAAAAATTCAACAACCAATCTCGCCCAACATACCGACGTCAAACTCAAAATATTTTCTTTCTTGTGGTTTGTTGGTAAGTTTTTTCTTTTTTTCTTTTTTTTTAAAAAATTTATTATTATCTTTTTTATTTTATAATTTATTATTTTAAAAATTTTAATTCTCCCTCATATTTTAACATTTTTCAATTTTGTCTTTCAAGACCAGTGAATCTTAAAATCGACTAATAGTAGACCTGCATTACATATATAATACTCGATGAATTCACGTAAATTTTCTGGAACTTGCAAATCATAATTATTTTAAAAGGTTTTCCATGTTTGGGTTTAGGAAAAAAAATTGAAATCACAACTAATCTGAAATCATCTTTTTGGTCCAAAATTCTCCGGTCCTAAATAGGTTGGATTTGGTAGGATTTGAAATTAATACGTATCTAATTTTAAATTTGCCCAATTTTATAGGAATTTCACATCACTCTACCTTACACTTGCGAGAGTAACTTCTTTTACAAAAATAGCTATTCAAGCATATTACTACGGTTGGTTTTCTCTTTTGCTTCTCTTCTACCGACATATGTTTTTGTGTTGTCTTACTATAGTTTTAGTCAAAAATAATAATAATAATTTTTTGGAATCGGTCATTTGATACATTTAAAATTCTTTTGGATCATTTTTGTGAAAGCAATTTTGTAACTATCTTTGTTTTTATTTTCTTTTTTAAATTTTTATTAATTGAAGTCTTGTTCTGTAATTCTTGATTCTCTTCGGTTTTCGTTGTTGTGTTTTAGTATGACATTGGTTTGCTTTAATTCCATCAGAAGATTTTTGTTTTTTTTTTTCTTTTAATTTTAAGGAGGTAGGAGGTTGTGGAACGACAATAAGAAAATAAAGAAAAGAAATGAGAAAAATGACAAAGGAAGGTTGGTTTGGGGTTTAAGTTATTTGTAGTTATAATAAGTATATAGATTATTTTGGTTTAAATTTGAAATAATTCTATTTAAGTTTCTTTTACCAAAAAGTAGAAAAATGAATTGAAGGGAGACATTTAAAAAAGTATTTGGATGGGCTGCAGCAATTCATGGTCATAGGTGAGGGCTTCAAAGAAGTAGTTGCATTGTAAAACTTGACCATGTAAGTAAAAAATAATAGTACATGTATTCATTCGATAACTTGATAACAGTTTGAATACTTAAAGCTACGTATTAAATATTCAAAAACTTAATTTAATTGTTTTTTATTTTTCTTGAGAAAAGATCATAAGTTTGTTAAGTTGATTCAGACTTCAGTCATTTGATCTAATCTCAATATTATGTACAATCGAACTAAAAAAACCAATATGGTAGAATTTGTGACAGAATGTTATTTATTAATTCATCATTTTGGTAAAATGAAATTAAGATAGGAAAAGGAATGAAAAATAGCCAAAGTACATATTCAGCCCTTAAGTTGAAACTTATAATCCACCTTGGTGAACCGTAGGACTAGCAAATAGGAATTGGAGCACCATCCCACTCTTTCAAGCATTCTAAGATAGAGTCGACCATTTTTCCTTGACATAAGGCTGTAAATACCTTCTCGCACTCTTCTCCAGGAGATGTCACCTTTTCTCCAGTTAGTAATCTTGTTCCCAATTCTTCTCTCACAAATTTGTATAGTGGATAGGATCTGCATTCCTTAATCTGGTTTTCAATCTTAGAGTCTCCATACTCATACGCCAACCTTGCATTTTCGACTTCCTTTGGTAATATTGTCTTTAGTTCCTCCTCAAAAGCAGCAATCTTTTGGAAGATTGAAGTGTTTGTGTTCTTTTCGTCATTACCATTTGCAAGTGCATGCTCAACAAGAACTTGCCTCAACTTCTGCATCAATGGGTAAGTAGCACTGCATGGATCATCGATGTAAGCAAATGTGTATTCTCTGTCAACAACTTTAAGTAGATCTTTCTCACAAAATCTTGATGGGTGAAGTGTGCCATTAGAGGATGTAGTCAACACTTTTTTGGCTACTTGGCTTACGGTACTTTTGACAGTGTCTTTCAAGTTTTCTTCCAAATGCCTTAAGTCGATTGCTTGACAAAGAGCAACCAAAAACGTGGAAGACATGAGTTTCAGAATATCAATGGCTTCAGCTGTTTTCCTTGAAGAAATTAGACCAAGAGAGTTAACATCTTGGTTATGTTGCTCAGCACTCTGGACATGACTTGTCACTGGATTTGCAAGATATTGAAGCTCAGAGCAATATGAAGCCATGGCAATTTCAGTACCTTTAAACCCATAATCCAAGCTTGGGTTTCTACTTGCAGAAAGATTAGAAGGCAAACCGTTGTTGTAGAAATCATTGACAAGTTCTGAGAATTGGGCAAACATGAGCTTTCCAATTGAAGCAATAGCCAAGCGAGTGTTGTCCATAGAAACTCCAATGGGTGTACCTTGGAAGTTGCCTCCATGCAACGCTTTGTTTCTTGAAACATCAATCAAAGGGTTGTCGTTGACTGAATTAATCTCTCGTTCGATAGACTTTGTGGAGAATCGAATCACTTCAATCAAGGGACCAAGCCATTGGGGTGAAGTTCTAAGAGCATAACGGTCTTGCTTGGGCTTTTGAAGAGGATCAATTTCATGCAATTTCTTGGCTGCTTTCATGTAAGAACTTCCATCCAAAATGTGTTCCATGATGGCAGCTGCTTCAATCTGACCAGGGTGATGCTTCAATTTATGAGTCAAATGATCGGTGAACTCAGGCTTTCCTTGCATCACCTCAGCAAAAATGGCAGAAAGAACTTCTGACAAAACAGCCAAAATATTTGCCTCAAAGAGAACAATAGAAGCCAACCCAGAACCAACAGCAGTACCATTAACAAGAGCGAGACCTTCTTTTGGCTGCAACTCAAAGAAACCCGAAGGAATACCAGCTTGTCTAAAAGCAGCCTCTGCATCAAGGGTTTCACCATTGGGACCAATAGCCTTTGAGTTGTGACGACCTGTAAGTAGTCCAGCTATATATGACAAAGGAACTAGATCTCCAGAAGCAGTAATTGTTCCTCGGAGTGGTAAGCATGGGGTGATGTTGTGATTGAGAAGTTTGGTTATAGCTTCCAAAATCTCAAATCTAATGCCCGAGTAGCCTTGAAGTAGAGTATTAATCCTTACTAACATGGCGGCCCTCGTTGCCGTGTGAGGCAAAGTATGACTCGACTCAGCCCCACTTCCAAAGATCCCAGCATTCAAAAATCGAATCAGCTCCTTCTGAAGAGCTCCACCTTGCTTAGTTCTCCGGTGAGACGTGGCACCAAATCCAGTAGTAACACCATAACTATCCGTCCCTTTACTCATACTCTCCATCACCCAATCGCTACTTGCTTTAACACTGGCTCTCGCCGACTCGGCCAACTCCACCATGACATCAGAATCTCGACTGGCAATAGCAGCCACTTGGGAAATGGTGAGGGTCTCTCCTCCCAGCTTCACCACAGGCCTCCGGTATTCCTCTACCATGCGCTTCACCTCATCGAGATGACTTCCCTTGAGGGACTCAGCCGCCACGCCCCAATTGAGCGGGTCATCACAATGGCTCATGCATAAGCTCTCTACTGAACCATTCTGGTGAGTAAGTTGCTGAAATTGAACAGGTGCCATTGTTAGGAGGCAGAGAAATAAATGCAGAGTTAATAAGAGGGAAAGTTGAACTGAGAATCTGTGTTAGGTACTATATTAGATTTGGATTGATTTCTGTTGCTTGGTTGTGGAGAGAGATGGAATTAGTTGTTTAAATAGAGAGCTTTTTGAGTTAGGTAGAGGAAGGAAGAGGAGACGAAGGAGAGACGCGTGAAAATGGTCCAAATAACAATTGGCCTAAATTGTCAATGGTCAGACAATATGGGCCCGGCTGGCATGGTGCAAGACTTTGGTTGTTACGTGTGAATTTCTTGATTTCACTTCTGAAGTGGGAAAAAATAAAGGTTTTAATTTATCCGTTTGGTTGGATAAATTAACTACTCATGATGGTCGGAGTAAAATCTTAGACTTCATTTCTTTCAAGAAAAATAATGGTTGTTTCGTTGATCATCAGATTCAGTTTCTTATTTTCCTGACGTATTTTTAGATTTTGAATTTGAAGCTTTCAGATACAAAATTACATTATAAAAATTTTGATAAATATATTATCTCATGTTATATTTTAAGGACTCCACATTGAACACGTCCGGGTGTTGACGCAGTGGCAAAATGTTTGGGTATTGAACATCCAAGATTCAGGTTCGAGCCCTCCTATATCTAATAGTTAAAAAAAAACGATTCCACGTTGAAAAAAAAACGTGRATGGAGATTGAGATTTATGACAAAGTAATAAAAAAAAGACTAAAAAAATTATTTAAATTAACAAATAATCATTTCACCATTTTTAAATCAATTAAAAATAAATTAATATTATGTCTATATTAGTAAAATTTTGTTGATATTTTTTTATATTTGGTCTACTATTTTGATAATATTATGGAAATGTTGATTTACCCGTCATGTCGACGTCAAATCTATGGATGGATACATGGACATGTCGATATGTCCACGAATATAAAATCAGGCCACACCCTCTCAATTAATTTTTTTTTCTTTTGGGAATATATTACAAACACAACAACTTCTCAAAAAAATGAAAAAATAAAAATATCTTAAACACTAAATTATACTCATATTAGCAAGTAGCAATCAACAATATTACATACCCAGTCCACAGCACACAAGATTTAAAGTTGATAGTGCATAACTTAATTAATAAAAATTTTAAATAGATACCCATTTATTTAATTTATATGCTTTAAAGTAACAAAATTTAAAAAAAAAAATCTTATTTTTGTAAATTCGTCGATTCAATTAGAAGACTAAAGTCAAAATGGGAGGGCCTCCTTTTGTTGAGGGAGTTTGGTGAGAGTCAAATTTGCTGCATTTAGTGTGTTAGTTAATTGTGAAGAATGACTGCAAGCGCCATCTTTGAACACACCGATAATTAATTAGCTTAATTAATTCAACCCATTAATTACACACATTTTAAGTAATTAGTGGATCATGACTTTAATTAAACAATATATAATAATTAAATATGAGAGAAAGAGAGAGATGGGGTTGGTGAACCTAATTGCATGTTAATAATATTATAATGATGATTAGTTTTATTATTACTAAATGGTTATTTTTTTCATATGGTGGGAACATTTATTATATAATATAGTACTCTCCCATCTACTCACTCGCGAGGACCTTTTCACTGCAAGTGGAACAAATATTTTGTTATATTATATATAATGCTTTGTTCATGTGTTTTTCTTAATTATTATTAATTTTTGTTGTTCTTGTTGACGACTATAGTCTAATATAGATTAGGAGTAGGGATGAAGATTATGGATTTATGGGTAATGATAATTTTTTTAATCATTTGATGCCCATTGGGAGAGCAAATTTAAGTTTTGAGTTAAAGTACGCGACATCATATAATTATAATAATTAAAAAATTAGTTTGTTGAATCTTAATATAAGTGGTAAGAATGAGATTGGTTAAGGTAGGAATTTGGTTTCGGAGATTGGAGTCGATATAATTCTGATCCGATGAACACCTACATACAAAGAAAACAGTATATTGATTGTATGGTGCTAATTAAGCCCAGACTCTTCGATGCTTGAGTTAATAAAGAGTTTTGTTGAGAGAAACGAAAAGTCGGGTTATGAAATCATACCTTGTGCTTAGGTATCTCCTCTTATTTATAGAGGAAGTCTCCTTAGGTTGATTCGGGGTATGATCGGCTCAAATCTGATCTGATTGGATGGTCTAACTTGAGTAGTTTGACCTAAGTATCTCGATCCATGTCATTTGTCTAACTTCAATTTATTCGAACTTGGTAGGATAATTTTACCCTAACAAGATTGTAGTTTTCTTTTTCAAACATCAAACTTAGAAGAAAAAATAAAATAAAACCATGTGTTAATTCAGTGATTGACCATACCTTTGACATCTCGATTTTGTGCGAATTTATGATTAGTTTATGGATTTTTTTTTTTATAGTTTGTGAAACAGTGAAATAAGAAAGTTTTATGAATAATTGTGTCTAAGTTTGGATATTTTTTCTATAAATTCCTGAAGAAATGAATTTTGCCCAGCTATTTTTCAAAAATTATTTCTACTTTATATCATTATATATGTATATGGTTTCCAGCTCAATAGTTTGACCATTGAAATTTGATTCATTGAGTTGATTTTTCGTTAAGATTTGGTTGAATATATGAAGATGTCAAATAGTAGAATATGATCTAATAATAGCCAATTTTTTTAACTTAGCTAAATTTTGGGAATTTTTTTAATAAAATTTAGTTAGCAAAAAAAAAAAAGTTTAGATGTTAGCAAAAAAAATAAAATGTTAAGCGTTAATAAATAAGTTATAGTAATGTTGCAAATTCACCCATTAAAAGTTATAAAATTCTCCTTTGCAAAAAAAAAAAAATTATAAAATTCAACCATTTTTCAATTTTGAAATGGTAAACACATCCAATTTTGACATAAAGTACCAAAATAGAACGTAACTTAAATTAAAGAATAAATTGTCAAAGCGAGCATAACTCAAGATTAATTGATATATATCTCCAACAACAAGTTGTACTTGTTCTATAAAATTAAAGAGAAAATTTTTTTTTCCTAAAACATTTTAATTTACGTATTTTCTTTTTTTATTTTACAGTAAAAATCTTTTACCTCCTTCATTCACTTCGATTTTCTATATATTGGCCGAAAGATTAACCTGTATCAGAGTGTGATCAAAATAACCCAAATGGAAGCCATAAATAAAACAGATTAAACCCACATAAAAAATTGAAGAGACTTGTGCAAATTAAGAATAAATTGTTCATATAATGTTATTAAATTGTATTTCTTCCATAAAACAGAAGAGAGACTGATATAAAAAATAATAATTTAAAAATACAAATCAGAAACATAAAAAAAGGCCTTTTTTTTTTTATTACGAGGGCAGGTGCATCCCTTTGACAAGTCGAAGAACCTAGCATATGGGAATGGGAGCACCGTTCCACTCTTTCAAACACTCTAAGATAGAATCGGTCATCTTTCCTTGGCATAAAGTTGTGAATATCTTTTCACACTCTTCTCCCGGAGATATTACTTTTTCACCTGTTAGCAAACTTGTTCCCAACTCTTCCCTCACAAATCTATATAATGGATAAGATCTGCATTCCTCAATTTGGTTCTTAATTTTTGCATTTCCACTCTCAAATGCCAACCTTGCATTTTCAACTTCCTTTGATAAAATTGCCTTAAGTTCCTCTTCAAAAGCACTAATCTTTTGGAAGATTGAAGTGTTTGTGTTCTTTTCGTCATCGCCATTTGTGAGTGCATGCTCAACAAGAACTTGCCTTAGCTTTTGCATCAATGGATACGTAGCACTACATGCATCATCAACATAAGCAAAAGTGTACTCCCTATCGACAACCTTCAATAAGTCTTTTTCGCAAAATCTTGATGGGTGAAGTGTGCCATTAGAGGATGTGGTCAACACTTTCTTGGCTACTTGACTTACASTACTTTTTACGGTGCTCTTCAAGTTTTCCTCCAAATGCCTCAAGTCGATTGCTTGGCAAAGTGCAACCAAAAATGTAGACGACATGAGTTTCAAAATATCAATGGCTTCAGCTGTTTTTCTTGAAGAAATTAAACCAAGAGAGTTAACATCTTGGTTGTGTTGCTCAGCACTTTGAACATGGTTTGTCACTGGATTTGCAAGATATTGAAGCTCAGAGCAATACGAAGCCATGGCAATTTCAGCACCTTTAAACCCATAATCCAAGCTTGGATTTCTACTCGCAGAAAGATTAGAAGGCAAACCATTGTTGTAGAAATCATTGACGAGTTCTGAAAATTGGGCAAACATGAGCTTTCCAATTGACGCAATAGCCAAACGAGTGTTGTCCATGGAAACTCCAATTGGTGTTCCTTGAAAGTTGCCTCCATGTAATGCCTTGTTTCTTGAAACATCAATCAAAGGGTTATCATTAACCGAATTGATCTCTCGCTCGATTGACTTTGTGGAAAATCGAATGACTTCAATCAAAGGACCCAACCATTGGGGTGAAGTTCTAAGAGCGTAACGATCTTGCTTGGGCTTTTGGAGAGGATCAATTTCATGCAATTTCTTAGCTGCTTTCATATAAGAACTCCCATCCAAAATGTGCTCCATGATTGCAGCTGCTTCAATTTGACCAGGGTGATGTTTAAGCTTATGGGTCAAATGATCGGTGAATTCAGGCTTTCCTTGCATTACCTCAGCAAAAATAGCTGAAAGAATTTCTGACAAAACAGCTAAAATATTTGCCTCAAAGAGAACGATGGAAGCCAATCCAGAACCAACAGCAGTACCATTGACAAGAGCAAGACCTTCCTTGGGTTGCAACTCAAAGAAGTCAGAAGAAATACCAGCTTGTTTGAATGCTTCCTTCGCATCAAGAGTTTCACCATTAGATCCAATAGCCTTGGAATTTGGCCTCCCAGTGAGTAATCCAGCGATGTATGACAAAGGGACCAAATCTCCAGAAGCAGTGATTGTCCCTCTAAGAGGCAAACAGGGAGTGACATTGTGGTTGAGAAGACTAGCAATGGCTTCTAAGATCTCAAATCGAATGCCAGAGTAACCTTGAAGGAGAGTATTTATTCTGACTAACATCGCCGCTCGACTTGCTGAGTGAGGTAGAGTATGACTCGACTCAGCCCCACTTCCAAAAATCCCAGCATTCAAGAATCGAATCAACTCCTTCTGAAGAGCTCCACCTTGTTTGGTTCGTCTATGAGACGTGGCACCAAACCCAGTAGTGACACCATAACTATCCGTCCCTTTATTCATACTCTCCATCACCCAATCACTACTGGCCTTGACACCTGCTCTCGCTGACTCGGCCAGCTCCACCACGACGTCAGAATCACGGGTGGCAATGGCTGCCACTTGGGAAATGGTAAGCGTCTCGCCCCCAAGCTTCACCACTGGGCTCCGGTACTCTTCCACCATACGCTTAACCTCATCAAGATGACTTCCCTTGAGAGACTCAGCCGCCATCCCCCAGTTGAGTGGGTCGTGAATGGAGCTCTTGCAGATGGTCTCAACTTGGGCCATTTTAGAGAAACAAAGACAAGAACCCAAAGAGGAAGAAGAAGAAGAAAAGAGATTTATGGAGTTAGAATCTGTGGAGATCTCTGTGCTGTATGAGAAAGAAAGACGATCCTTAAATAGAAATCTGATCATCACCATTACTGTGATTGGCGAGGAAGGTTGGTGGAAACTGGAAAGCAGAACAAAGGAGAAACTAAACGGTAGTTAGGTGTGGCCCTGTGGAGAGTGTGTGGAATTGATTTTCAAAAGGTCAAAGTTGATGACTTGACAAATTTACATTTTTTTTTATACCCAAACCTCTACCTAACACACGTGTGTTCAATAAGTTGAGTTCCAATTATTTATCCGGATTTTTCTGATACAATATATATGAAATTTGAATTTGAACTCGTGACTTTTTAATTGAAGATAAATACTTTAATCTGTTGAGTCAGATTTAAATTATCATCATTTATTTGGAGTTTAACCAACATTACTTACCTAATTTTACAACGTCAAAATCAAAACTATTATAATTAGCAACGGAAATTTTAATTTTCTTGGATGGTGGTCGGAAAAAAGGAGGGAGTTATTTTATAACAAAAACTATTATATTCAGTCAAATATGGAGTTGAATGCTAATACTATAGAGAATGCTCAAATGTATCCCACACCTACTTAACTAATTCTAATAATAAATTTCTTTTAATTATAATAATATATGGTAATCTAAAACAAATTACAAAGTCTAGATTTTTTTTTAATTAAAAAACTATGTAAAGTCAAGATTATTATTATTATTATTGATTAATTAATGTTGAGGTTAATTTTGATTTATATATTGCTCTCATCACCTTCACTTTCTCAAAGGCTTTAGAAAAGACCTACAAAGGTAAACTGTAAAGACTTTGGTCAACCTTTCATTGTGCTTCATGTGAATTATCATACCTACCCAATATTCTATATTCTATTCACATGGCAGAATTGTATTTTTTTTTTTCTTTCTTTCTAATTCTAAGAAAAAGGCCTTTAAAATTTTTAGTAAAATGAGGCACAATTTCTAACATATATGTGGTTACTGATAAAAGTACGTGCTATTTTAATTAAAGGACTAAGAAATTGTTTAACATAATTCAGATAAATTTGTGAAGCTAAGTTTGTATCAGAAGTAATTAGAATCTCATTGTTTAACATAATTTAGATAAATTTGTGAAACTAAGTTTGGATCATAAATAATTAGAATTTCATTATAAACGAGAGAGAAATAGATCCTATTGATATTAATGACATTTACATATGGTTTTAGAATTATAAAAAATTAAAAACATGAAATTATATATGTATTTTTTTTAGTTCTCAACAATTGCATAGTGGAAATGTCAAAAAAAACAAAAAACAAAAAAAACAGTTGCACAGTATTGATGAAACATTGACTTTAAAATAGTAATAGGTATCTTATCGACTTGCTTGGATGATCTATTAGTAAAATAAGAAATAATAAATAATTATTAAATGTATTTTAATTTTTATTTCTAACAAAAAAAAAAGAAGTCAAGGCTAGCATAATTTAGCGATCATGGACATATATCTCTAACCAAGAGGTTATGAGTTCGATCCCCACGCTTCCTGTACTGTACTAACAAAATAATAACAACAAAAGAAAAAGGAAGAAAACAATTTTGTTCTTTTTTATTTTTGGAGAAAATTAAAAACTTTAAACAGGCCTAAAAATTTTTACAGATCTTGAGAGAGGGCAATTATCGCGATGGCATCTCGTTCAAAAAAACGCTCAATTGAATTGGGCCAATAGTTGAGCCCAATAGCCCATCACACAAGCCCACAATAATCCCAAGAATCTTCAGCTTTTATGTTCATGTGTCTTAAAAACTCTGTTATTCAACAAAAACATTTTTGGTTATAATATATTCTCTGTGATTTTTTCTTCATTTGTTTGTCGTCAATCATGGCTTCGCAGCTCCTCAGACGCGCCCTCGGAAGCCGCTCGGGTCAGATCTTCTCCCTTTCATCTGACCTTAGCTCCTCCGCTCCCGTCCCCTTGAGGGCTTTCTCTTCCGCCGCTTCTCCGATCCGAGCTACTCTCTTCCCCGGCGATGGTATTGGTCCCGAAATTGCCGAGTCCGTCAAACAGGTATTGCTTTTTCTCCATGATCGCAATTCTGTTTCAGTACGATAATTTTCCCGTTTTCTGTACCTAGTGGCAACTTCTCTGGTAATTGCTCCAGAAAAATTGATCTGAATTTGTTATTTTAATGTTTAAAGGTATGTGGGGTATTTTTCGAGTTCTCTTTTATGAGAATTTTCTTATTTGGTTCATGTCTTTGGGTTTATGTTTCTGTTATTAGATGGTGATTCAAGAGAACTACTGTCTTTTTTTTGTAGTGTCAAATCCACTTTAGAATTGCAACTCATTTTTAATACAGAAAAGAAGTAAATTTCATGCGTCTTGTGTGATAAATATACCAAGTGAGATACTTCTTGTTTGATTTACTAAGTGATGTTCATGGTATTGTGTAATTGATAAATTTCATTCTTAACCTATACAGGTATTCAATACTGCTGAAGTGCCTATCGAATGGGAAGAGCACTACGTCAGTGACCAAATAGATCCTCGAACTCAAAGTTTTCTCACATGGGAAAGCTTAGAATCAGTGAGACGTAATCGTGTGGGCTTGAAAGGACCCATGGCCACACCAATTGGAAAAGGCCATCGTTCTTTGAACCTTACCTTAAGGAAGGAACTTAATCTGTATGCTAATGTAAGGCCTTGTTACAGCCTGCCTGGTTATAAAACTCGATATGATAATGTAAATCTTATCACTATCCGTGAGAACACAGAAGGGGAGTACAGTGGACTTGAACATCAAGTAAGTATCTATAATTTCTATTGGATTGTGGAGAGCAATCTCAACGTGGTTCATGTGTACAAATTATTGCGTTCTAGGTGGTGAGAGGTGTGGTTGAAAGTCTTAAGATCATTACCCGTCAAGCAAGTTTAAGGGTGGCAGAATATGCTTTTCACTATGCCAAGACTCATGGAAGAGAAAGAGTCTCCGCGATACACAAAGCCAACATTATGCAGAAAACTGATGGTCTTTTTCTTAAGGTGTGACTAAATTTCAAAATTATTTACTATCCCCTCATCCTCACTTTTCATCCAGGTGTTCTCATCTGAAATTTTCTTTGTGTCTTCACTTTCAGTGTTGCCGTGAAGTTGCAGAGAAGTATCCTGAGATAAAGTACGAGGAAGTTGTCATTGATAACTGCTGTATGATGGTATGGATTAATTTCTTTTCAAGAATCACAGAACCCATAAAAAGTTTAATTCTGCATTGGAGGTGACGTGGAGGTCTGAGAGGGTCAATCTAGAATATCTAGTAGATTCTTGAGAAAGTATTTCTGATCATTACTTGATTTGATTATGAAATTTGGGATCATCAATGGGTTTCTGTAGAACGGCAGCGAAATTTGACTTTTGTTATTCAAGTGCAAGTAAGGTGGAACTGGTCTTCATTATGTATTGCCTTTGTGCAGCTTGTGAAGAATCCATCTCTCTTTGATGTATTGGTGATGCCTAATCTTTATGGTGACATTATCAGTGATCTCTGTGCTGGGCTGATTGGAGGATTGGGCTTAACGCCAAGGTATTTACGCCTCATTTTCATTTCTATTGGTAAGCTTAAATATTATCTGACATCCAAAAAAATAATATTATGCAGCTGTAATATTGGTGAGGGAGGTATTGCTCTTGCTGAGGCTGTGCATGGTTCAGCACCAGATATTGCTGGAAAGGTCAGGCTTCATAACTTTAAGATCATTGACTGCACCTTCATTTATTTCTTTTGTTTAATCATATATCCCTCTTGAATGCCTCATTGTTCTGTATGTTGCTTGTATTTATTGCCGGGGCTTTTATCAGCTTGCTGTGTTTTTTCACTAAGCAACTCATGGTTGGTCCTAAACTATCTCTAGCTGAACTTTAACTACCATCATAGGGTTTCGTGGTGTCAATTTAGTTCTTGCACTAATAATTTATTTCAAATTCCTCCTTTCGATCAATAATCTTGACAATTGTTAACATGTCAACCTTGGACCTCTGTTTTGTGACTAATAGGGGCATTTATGGCATGGAAATGCTTGATATTCCTGGGAATAAAATTGATGAGAATGAAATTTATGAAATTAAATGCTCGAGAGAGATAGACATGTTTAAATATAGCATTCTTAAGATAGAAAATCTGCACTATTGGATCAATGTATTTGATCTGTAGAATATGTTAATCATAAGTTGTACATTTTCAAACATAAAAATAAATTTGTGTCTGCAAGTTAGTATTATCAGTAGTAAATGATATTAAAATTGTATTCAATTATTTAAATTAAAATTAGAAGCTAAAAGATTAAGTTTTAAAAAATGACCTTGGTTGTGGGATCACATGGAAGTTAAATAGTAACAATCACACCCTTCTTTTCATAGAAAGCACTATTTTTTATGCAGAAATACAGGAATAAACATTGTAATATAGAAAGTGTATGTAGAGAGAAAGAATGGTGAGACTGTAGAGATAAATAGGAAAAAGTTTGTAGAAAAAATGAAGTGCAGAGAGAGGGAGTAGCAAGAGGAAATGTTATATGTTTCTGCGAAGAATCTCTTTTTAGGGAAAAGGGCTAAGATTTCTCACACCGTTTTTGAGAAAAATAGGAACTAAAAAAATATATTATCAAACAAATATGTGAAACAGAAAGAATAGAACATTTTCAAACAACACTTTTGAAGCCTTTTCTCCTTTTTTTTTTTTTTGGTCAAAAACATGAGTCCAATTGACTCAAATCCAAATAGGGCTTCGTACCACACATTCTTGCAGAAGGGCATACAGTAAAATGTAATTGCTTAGGTAGAATATATATCTTTTGCAAACACGCGGTGAAGAGTCGAAGTAGTAAATGCCCCTTCCTATTTGAAAGTGAATTTTCATGTATCTGTATGCTCTGGTTAAACTTGCACAGAATTTGGCAAATCCAACTGCATTGCTTTTGAGTTCTGTCACAATGCTTCGCCATTTGGAGCTCCATGACAAAGCTGATCGGATTCAAGATGCTATTCTCAAGACCATTGCGGAAGGGAAGTACCGAACAGCTGATCTCGGCGGTTCATCATCAACTACCGTGTTCACGAACGCAATTTGCGACCATCTTTGAGGAATGTTTTACATTATTTGCACTGTGGTCTTACAAGTTGTTTATAGGGAACCTTTATGGAGGATTCCTTCATATGTTTTTCGTGGTTTCTCTGAAGAGTAATAAGTTCAGATCATATTGATGACTCTGAAGTAGCTTATCCCAAGGTGCTACTCTTTTAACCATTGATCCTTTCCTGGCCATCCAAAGAAAAACTGTTATGGCCCTATTCATGTACAATGTCAGATGATTGAGATCTGTTAAAATTTGTTTCTACGAAAACCTGCGGTTTTTTCCCTTTTCATTCCAAATTTTTGGGTCAATTCTAGTCTCTGTCAATGTAGTTTGTAAAAGACTCAAAAAGAATAATCTTCTTGTCCTTCCGATCCAGTAAATTATTATTCACGCTGTGCCACAATTGTACGGCATGCAATTAATTTATGATGTTTCTTTATCTGCAGAACTAGATTTGATAGTGCACAGTTTTGTGTAATATCTGCCAGTTATATTTTCATCGTTTTCAAAATCATTTTATTTTCTATCATCGTGTTTGACAAATTAAAAAATTAATTTTAAAAAAGTTTAAAATCAGATTTTCAAGGTAATGGTGATTTCAAAAAAATCAATTATATTTAAATCTTTTTTTTTCTTTTCAAAATTACTCATTCTATTATCACTTCCAAATACAATTTTAAGCTCAATGTGAACCAAATTCTAAAAATAATGTAATTTTCGGCACGAACCCCATAGGAATTATAAAAGAAACTTCACGAAACCACTTATTGCAAATCAAAAATAAAATAAAATCATATCAGCTTAACAAATATTAGTATAAGTTGATGGATAAGATGCAAATTATCTTGTCCAAGGTAGGCAGAAGATGGAGAGGTGAAAATTATGTCAAAGTTTTATTACAGATAGTGAACTAACAAAATCTCTCCTATTTTCAGGCTGCTAAGTTTGGATGTGTCTAAGCAAAGTGTGAAGCTGCGAATTTATAATTTATAATTTATGTGCTTATATTTTGTCAAAAATATATAGAGAGAGAGAAAAAAGATTATGAAACTTGGAGTCCTAGCGCGTGATTGACAACCTCTTTAGATAGCGCGTGGACGAAAGAATGAAGTCTGCCTTGACTTGTGAAGGAGCGAAATGTTTAAGGAATCATTAGTGTGTGTTTCTCCGCCCCATACCCCAACGCGCCACCGCAAGTCTCGCCACAAAGAGAAGAGGAATCCCGGAATCCGCCATGACTGATCACCTTCCGCGCCTTCGCCGGCTCCGTTCGACCGCCCAAATCTTCAGAGAAGCCGCCTCCTCCTTCAATTCCAATCTCTTCACCTTCCTCCTCCTCTCTCTTCTCCTTCTCTCCTTCCGCCTCGTCCTTGAGAATGGTACCCATCTCGTTACCTCCATCATCGACCACGACCCCTCTCTCAACGCTCTCCTCTCTCGCCTTGATCCTCCTGATAGCCGCAGCCCTGCCGGATCTTCCCAAGACTCCTCCACGTCCACTCGCCGCCGCCGCCGCCGCCCGTTTCTCCACCTTACGCGCGTCGGAACGCTGGACGAGGACTTCTTCTCGGGCGATGGTGATGAGGATCGCAGCCTCTTCGGGGCCAACAAGAATTTTTCCCCCAATCGCAGTTTCGTGATGTTCAACGATTTTGACTCGGTGTTAGGGTTTTCGGATTCCGTAGTCGATAGCGGGGTAAGTGTTTCGGAGGTCGTTCGCCCTGGAGTTGCATTCAGACTCAGAGCTGAAATTGCGTCTTTGGCAGTTGATAACGACAGTGCTGAAGATCAAGAAGAAGAATACAGAGATGGTAACGGTCAACCGGATGTGGATAGAGTGGTGGATTTACAATTCGTTGTGAAAGGATTGGAGCTTGATCATCGGGAAACGGCAGCACTGTTCTTTCTGGTGAGTTTCTTGTCTGCGGCGTATGGATGGGTTATTTTTAGCTTTACTGTTACATATTCATTGGTTTTAGGCATGGTATTTATTTCAGTTGTTAATGACCTAACCGGGAGGTTTAGCTCACTGGTTGGTACAATCTGGAATGGATCCATACTGGGGCTTAAGCGGCTTTCCGGGTATATTATCATGAGATGGGCAGTGAGGGATGCCATAACTCAGCTTCTTGGATTGTGGTATTTTGGTGAAATCGAAAGCAAGTACTCATTTTTCAAGCTATTTGTGAGGTTGAAGTTGATGCCATTTTCAGTTATGTTCCCTTGGATTCAAGGTTTTGAGAAGGAGATATCTGGATTTCTATTTACATGGTTCTTTATGGACACACTTCTAGCTTTCGTATTTGCTGTTGATGCCTGGGTAGTCATTGCCGATTCAAGGCGAAGTGGAAGACAAATAGTGAAGGAAGGTTGTTATTTGTTATCGATTATGTTGAATCAGGCTGTCCAAGTAAAATGTTTGGAAGCTATATTTTGTGGCTCTCTTTTTAGGGGGATTCTAGCTAAGGTTTTGGGAAAATATGTTGCCATGGTTTTTCAGTCGGTTGTGGAGGTATACTTTATGGTTGCTTGGTTGATATTCTACTTTTCAGCTAGATGTAGAGATGCCCACTTACAGGGAAAGAGATTTGGTCAGAGAGAACTTGAGGGCTTGACTGATGGACTCAGGTAGTATTAGGTAACTATACTATACCGAGTTCCAACTGCAGGCTCCAATTATAACAAATTAGGCTTGATTTCTTTTTTTGCACCTATTTGTAGCTCTTTCTGATGCCCTCTGGTTGAGTCTGTAGTCTCCAGAAAAAAGTGTTGTATCTACTTTACACAAGGCAAGATATATTATTGTATATTTGCAGAGAAATCCTTTCTTATGTTTGTAGGTTGTGTTTATGAATTTGTAAGTTATCTGTTATATTGGAATTCGGAAAGAAAAGAAATTGAGATGATTTGGGTTTCTTTCGCCCGTCGAAAATTTCATGCATTCTCATTGTACGGAGTCTATCTGTTGTACTTCTAAAGTTTATGATGGTAGATCGAAACGGCTAAATATTGTAGTGGACTACTGATTGTCTGAAATTCTGCGATCTCAGTTTGTAAGCTGTAATTGGGCATATGTTCATTTCCCACTAACACAAATTTATGGAAAATATATATGAAGCCTTAAAATTGGAGTGTTTTTAGCTTGACTTGGAGCCATGGTTTTATCCACAGGTGAGAAAAAGGTTAAGCCTCACAGTTAAGTCAGTCGAGAGCATGAATCTTTTCTTTCATTTGTGAGAACAGGACAACAAAATATTTAGATTTACCATGTATTTATTATTTACATATACGAGACAGCCAACGGAAAGTTTTCATAGACTTCTTTTAAACTCGAGCTGACCATTATGTTTACTTGTTTCGGTTTGGCATATGTAATGTAATGTTAATTACTTGGCTAAATTTGGGTACGTATTTAAGGCTCAATAAAAATGATATCTCAATCAACTATGTATCAGAAGCTTTTGAAGCATAACTGTATAAGAAAGATCATTAGGCCTTCGGCTCAATGGAAGAGGCTGCTGTGAAGCCCCAGAAAACCTTGAGATTTAATATTTTCATAGTATCAGTTCAACTGAATCTGAATCTGAAGCTCTTGCAAAGAAATTGAAGATCTTTACCCACTACCCAGGACCAAAGTCTCTTCTGAAATTGTATTGTGGGGTAGTAAAGAGGATGTAGTTTGGTCCCATCAAGGTTGATCCAGAGGCCCATATGCATGTATACATTATTTCTGATAGGAAATTCAGAAGTTGAGATAACTGGACTTAAGATAGCCGAACCATATGCATGTATATATTATTTGATCATGTCTGGTATGACAAGTATGTAACTTTAAGTAGCTTTTTATATGAATAAGAATATGATGTAGAAAATTTTTATTTGGTGTGGCAAGCACTAGCAATGAAATGTCATTTGAACTTGCATATCCATAATTGAGTCCATAGCTCTAAGAGCTTGCCTAGTGAAAATATGGACAAATTATTAGTCTTGGAGGGAGAGTGAATGGTGTTTTGCCCCCTTTCTTCCTGTGATCAGAGATGATGATTGGCGGTCATAAGAATCAGATCTGGATATAATGCAGATAGCTTTCAAGTTTTAATGATGTTGTTAAACAGAATTGGCAGGAATTTTTATTATTACTACTTCAAAAAAGTGAAAGGTGATGTTGCTGAAAGTGAAAGGTGTGAGAGAAGCATGAACAGATGCGGGAATAGAATGGTTCCATTTGATGGCCGAGTTGCACCTCAAGTGGAAAATTTCCCAAGTAATCTGGTTTAATTTGTTGCAGCGGATGAGTATTTTGATAACTGAGTTTTTGTTGCACTTTCAGCAACTTGTTGCTAAGAGCACCATTTTCCTTTAGTAGCATTAGGTCCCCAAGTGGTAAGAAATTCACAAACATTTACTCAAGTTACATTAGTATACAACAAATTGTGGCTAAATACATATCAGCATTCTCAAAGAGAATTTAGATCTCCAGAATGAATTAAATTTGACAGCAACCTATCTTCAAAGACAGAGGGATTTGTCGGTTATCAGCTCAGCTAGCACGGTGGACAACACTAAGGAAAAGGCTCTCATCACAAGGAATGCAGAGTTTTGAGTTTGCAGTGAAGTCAAACTCATCTTGTGCTTGATCCAGCAATGCCTTGAACAGAGGGTGATTGAGAAGGCTGATCTTGATTACAAACCTTCTGTTATTCTCACCTACATAGACAACCAAGTGACCTTTCGGGACGTCACTCGGAATGAAGCAATCCTCATGCAAGGGAGACCACAAAACCCATTGGCAACAGTGCTCGCAGGCTGTACAAGGTACAACTTTGCTTCCTATCTTCCTCCATTTGTTTACACATGCTCTTATAAACCTGCCCTTCATATTTTCAGTATGTAGCTTAGCTATCAATGAACGTGAGAGAGAGAGAGAGGGTATGGTATTGAGTAGGCACTGAAGGGTATATATATACATATACACGTAAGAGTGGATGGATGGAGAAGACCATTAAATGGTTGACATGATAGATATAGCTAAGAAGTGGGCTGAGTTTCTGTATGGCATTTTCTCTTTAACAGTGCATTATATATATTATAGTAGCTGCACTTTGCCGTGCTGTACCAGTTTACTTTACTATATTATTGCATCTCTAAATTATACGAATTGTACGAACATTCATGGCATAGTTTTGAAATGAGATTTTATATTCATATATGGAAAAATATTAATCTTTTTTCCATATGAGGGAAGAGAGAGATGGATCTGCTATATGAAAGCTCTTTCTTCTTTTACTGAAATGTAGGGAGTGTTGGTTGACTGATCTTGTTTTTCTAAAGTTTTTGAAGTTAAATCTGTAATAATGGCCCCCACACGATTGAGTGGACAAGAGATAAGATTTGCAAGAGGGGATGGAGATAACTTTCTTGGGTATAGTGGCGATCCCACTTATTTCTATGACTTTTAAGCTTGGATATTGTAGAATATCACTTTGTTCACACTCACAGAGGAGGTGCTTTCAACTCTTCTGAGCTCTAGTGAATGTAATAATGGTCTCTGGATAGTTTTATCAAGACTAATGATTTATTTTCTCATGGAAGATGAATTCTCAGTAATTTGATAGAGACCATTTTGTGAGAACTCTTTGGTCAGTGTTATTGGTCCTTTTCTCTTTTTAATGACAGTGATATTGGGGGCCCCACGTCTCACTAATATAACCCTATATGCTTCGGATGACATCAAGAGTATTCATCTTTTAAGCTTTTCACCAAAAAGACTTGAATATAAAACTTAAGAGAATTTTATCACACATATTCTAAGCCCTTACCACCAAGTTGCGGCCCTTTTATTTATATTCTCAAGATCGGTAGAGTTTAATCTTATGGGATTGTCATGAATGGGTTCAAATTATGATGGCCACCTATTTAGCATTTAAAATATTAAGTTTTCTTGACAACTAAAAGTAGTAGAGAATACTCTAAAATATTCTTACACATAAGTCAAGATGAACTTAGCTTAGCGGTAATTAGCATCTTTTTCTAACCAAAAGATCATAAGTTTTAATGCGAGAGACAACTATGCCTGCCGTTATTCTCGGCTTTGTTAAGAAAGAAAGCGGCCCCACCCTACTTGTTGTACTAAAGAAAAAATACTTGCACAGAAAAATGAACCAGACAAGCCCCTAGGGAACTATACTAGTAAATAGCCTCCATTTCTATTCTTTTGCTGAATTATTTCAATGCATGAGTCAAAATCAGCATAAAGTAAAGTATATCTCATTGCTTGTCTTATTCATCTTGATTCTAAGCCATATTTACATTGTTGCTCTTATCTTTATACATTTGGATTGATTTGAGCGCACCATGTGAGACGTGTTTAATTCATCAGAGCCTCTAGACTTTAGATTTTTGTATTATGAAGAGTGTGATTTGGGGTACTATAGCCGTACAGATGTGTGAAATTTGAAAGAGTACCTTATGGCATGCTTAGCTTATAGTTAATTATTATATGCAGAGACAGCAGCAGCATTGCCATACATTTTTCTTTCTTTCTTCTGCTGCAGATGGTTTTGGGATAAGTTTTTTCTGCAGCATCACATCTGGGCGCAGGAGATGGGCCACTCCTCTCTCAAACCAAAACATAACTCTTTTATTTCATTTTTCAAACAGCTTTCTTCCTAAAACTTCAATAATTTTATATGCTTCTGAAGCCTGGATTTGGTTCCTCTCTGCCGTTATCAGTTCCTCGTATGTGGACGGTTTTATCTTCTTCTAGTCTCTTTGTATATAAAGAAAGAAAGCTGAAAATATTCTCCTTCCAAAGAAAATGATATAGTCTCCTGTTTCATAATAATTCTGTATTTCGACTCTAATAATGATTTAATCTTCTTACTTTTTGAGATGTGAAGCTTCAGCTCCCATTTGACACTAAAACTCTTATGAGAAGCAATCTATATGGAGAAGAACCTCTTAGCAACAAAAAAGCAAGAGGAAAGCCATAAAAGATGAAACATCTTGAGGGATAATGAGCCTTTATTTTCTTCTCTTTTTGGTAAAAATGTGTTTGGATTACACATATTTTTAAATAGTGGCCATTATGATGATCATCTATAGTGAAAAGATAGGTGGGCATGGAGCAATAATTTCATAATGATTCCAACCAAATCCTATGTGCTCCCATTTACAAGATTCTTCCCTAAAAGCAAATGTATTGCAATGTTTTGAATAATATTCAAACCCACTCTTTTACATCTTTCAAACATAGAAATTCTGTGCAAATTAATGTAAATTCACAATAGAATTTTGGAATAGTATTTCCATATAGATGTGATACAATAATATATACTTTTTTTGGTCAATTTTCATGGATTTTTATATGAAAATTTATCGGTTGGGCGTTGGTTCGGTTCATTTAATTTTTGTAGTGTAATAAAAACGCCAGCACATTGATTCATCCCCCAAAGACAATGAAATCTATACACTTGATGGTTTGGTTTGGTCTGGTCTTCTCCAAAACAAAACCTCCTCTCTCTTGGACACATCCTTTTTCTCACACTGACTTGCAAATGGTCTACATGCAAACGTATAATACTTTCGATTGTAGTTATCTTCTAATACACTCGATTCGATGCATGTTCAAAATCTGTTTGATCTTCATATTTCCATAACGATATGACACTGTCTCCTCTTGTTCTAAGACTGCATAATTAATTTGTTGTGGTTTTGCAAACAACGTTTCGAACAAAGTTATGCAAACTTAGAGCTAGAGGGGACAATATTAATGCAGCTGGGAGACAATGTGATGAATAGAGATAGTTGTCACTGATGAAGAACTCTCGGCTGCATTAAATAAAACCATATGATCACATTCTAATAATCTGATATGTACTGATGTGTGCATTATCAAAAGCTTTTGAAGCAAAACATGAAGTTTTGTTTTGAAGTGGGAAAAAACCCTTCCCCACATATTCACAAAGAGATAGCAATAATGATGGCAGTGAGGGATGAAGCACATGAAATAGGGCCACTTCACAAAATTATCCCATAGCACAGAGAGAGAGAGAGATAGAGCTGGTTGGCATGCAACACTTTGAAAAGAAAGAGGGAGACCCTTGGACCCAGTTCCTTATCTCCACCTTAATAACATTTTGTCCATTTTATATTGCTCATAAAGTAGCACTCTGCAGATTCGTGACCAGCTGAACATGCAACAACAATACTTGTTAACAGACGCTTAAATTAATACCTCTCGGGTGCCCCTAAGTATAGGGAGCAAAGTTTCGACTGAGGTTAATACCTCACCAACAGGTTTCTTAGCTTTAAAAAATATGTTAGACGATAACATTTTATTTCAAAGTAGAACAATATGTTGGGATAGGGATCCGAACCCATGTCCTTTTAGTCGGAGATAAGAATCTTAATCCGTTAAACTATGCTCAAGTTTACAAACATGTAGACTTCATCGAAACCACTATAAATTGAAAGTTTAGAAAGACTCATATTTTTTAAAGTTCATGAGTCTTATTAGACACAATTGTAACCTTGAAAGTTAAGGGATAATACTTGTAATTTAAGAGTAAAAAATCGGTCTTTCCAATTAATTCCAACTCATGTTTTTCTTTTTAATCAAAATCCATCAAACTTATAACATTTCCTTTCCGTTGTTATTATCGAGTAAAGTGAACAGGAAATCATCCGCGAGATTTTCAAATCGAATTAGAGTAAATAGATTTTTTAAAGTCTATATAGACATAAAATTTCCGACAAAAAAAGAAAGAAAAGAGGGAAATTGCTTTACCGAGTTTACGAGATGAAAATGAGCAACAACAATCATCAACAAATTAAAGTTGAGACTTTTAAGACATGATGGAATTAAACACAAGAAGAGAAGCAATGATATGAAATTGGAAAATAGAGAGAGGCAAATGATTTGCAGAATGCACGTGCAATGGTCAGTTGTAACAAGCTGTACTTGTTAAGCCAACAACATGCCCTGCCAGTGCCATGGCAGATTGCAGAAGCTGGCATTATTATATATATATTTTTTTTTCTTTTTATATATTTTATTTATTTGTTTGTTTTTGAAATATAATTTGATTTATATTAATTTTGAGGGCCTTTCTTCAACTACTTCTGCCCCATATCTTCCCATTAATAACTTCCCATGCTTCCCTCTTGGAAGCATATGTTGTTGGCCTCCTAATTTCATTTTTTCATCTTCTTCTTCCTCTTTCTCTCCCATCTCCACTTCTTTTCACCCTCTTTTTCTATGCTTCTTTTGATATATTTGGTAAGACAATTGAGATACGAGAGAATCCAAAAGAGAGATTGGAGAGATACGATCATATTTCTCTAGGTAGAGACGATCGAATATTCTTTTCCGAAGTCCTATTAGAAAAGGTTGAACTACAGTAACGTTTGATCGATTCAAACTTTTGTCTATTGTGTTCAGATTCCCGTACCTCTGTTAGTACTTTTATAAAATAAAATAAACAGAGTTTTTTTTCTTCACCACTTTTGAATAGTTTAAACCGTCGTTTTTTGTGAATGATTATATTTTATTTTTCCTTTTGCTCTAGAATACAATGAGGAAGAATTTTGGAACAATGAACAAATACAAAGGTTTGAATAATGCAGTATCCCATACCGTATCTTTACAAATAAAATGGTATGTACATGTATACACATGATGATAGAGAGATATCCTTCTATGATCATATATAGAAAGGGATGCTTTGAACCCTACCAACTTGATATTTTGACTTATATAACGAACATGCATGAACCATTTCACGATGTATGTGTCCACATATTCTAAAATCTCGATAGTTGGCTCTTGGTTGTTCCAGCATTGATAAAGACATTGTTGAAATCGACATAGAAACTTTAAGTCTCATGCTAATCATCTTTGTTTAAAAAAAAAACAAAAAAAGAAAAATTTTGAAGGATTAAATCATGACATTATTAATTAAAGTCTCATAATAATAATGTCTCACCAAGTAACTTGGACATCTAAAAATTAATAATAATCGAAAAAATGATATTTCTTGTGAATCTGAATATAACTCAATTAATCTATTACCATAAAAAAAATGTATTAAAATCATATTATAATGTAATAGGATTTGAGAGTACTTTTTAGTTCATGATCCAGAAGATTCAAAACTTAATACACTAATAAGTTGGATAATTCGAATATTTTAATATTTCTTCTCTAAAAAAATGGAAAGACTTCTAACCTTTTTTTTTTTTTAATTACTCTTGGTTTAGCCTCAATTTCCATTTATATTTCATTAAATCACTTTTATCGCACGTTTCGTTTTGTCCATAAAAAAACTAAATATATATCTTTTTAGTTTTTAAAATGTATAAGTCCAATCAATCAATAATCTATACACACGCGTTCCTTTATAATATAAAAAAACAATACCCTTAAAGAAATGCAAATGTCAATTCTCATGGTGGAAGCCCATGCGATAATGTCTCCCCTATGGAGATTAAGCTTCCTCCAAAACCAGATAAAAATATCTACATTTAACTTCTAAAAATATTGTGAAAACATCGATAAGATGTTTTTACGAAAATTTTATAAAAATAAAAAATTTATAAAAAATATTTAAATTAAAATTAGTTTTGAAATAAATTAAAAATTATTTATACTTTTTTTTATATTTTTTCTTTTTTACAATAGTATGGAAATATCCATTTACTTCTCATGTGGAGAGAAATTTAATACCATGTCCAGAACCTAAATTTATAACAAAAGGATTTTCTTAACGAATACCTATATTTATAGAATAATTTCTTTTAATTGAAAATAAGTTTACAATTTGATATTATATAAAATAAATTTTTTTTAAAAAAAAAGGATTTTCTTTATTGAAGAAAATAGTATAGTGTGATTTTCTTTTTTCAAAAATAGGAAATTAAGAGTAGTTACCGAGAACATGTTTGGTTTTTATTGTTATGGACAAAAAGATCACGAATTGATAACAAGAAAGTAACCTCAGTAATTTTAACTTTCTAAATCACAAAGTAGTGTAATTTTTAGGGAAAGCAAACTCTTTACGAGCCAACTTGAACTTAGCTAAATTCAAATCTTACTCGCACTAATATTGTATTTAAGAAAAAATAATATTAAAAGACAGAAATTTTCTTTTCGGATTTTTAATTGAGATAATATCTTCCAGAGTGTTGTGTAAATTTTGTGTATGAGCCAGACTTTGGTCCAGGCTCTATTTTGATGGATAAATGTGGGCCTAGTTAGTTAGGTGTTGACTTACCAACACTGGATAGCCCCATGTACTGCAACCCACATCTATCCGCAATTGGCCCTTTTTTATTGGGATATGTTCATACCTATAATATACCCTATGATACCAAATTATGAAATTTTAATTGAGCTGAAAATATCATATCCTAAAACCAAAAATGGTGGCATATTGATGACAATTTCCATGTCGCAGTTACATAAATCACATATCTTGCCATTCTAGAAAATGGTTTATTTGTCTCTCAATTTGCCAACAAAGCACATTAAAGTATCATATACATTTCAATTGCAAAGTAAAATGTGATTTTACAAATTGAGTTATGATTTCATAAAAATGAAAAAAAGAAAGATAGCACAAATCATTTTTGAAGTATACTGATTGTTATGAATCCAATTGAACTCTCGAAGTTCATCAAATGATGCAATTAAATTCAACCGTTACGTCTAATTGCAAATGCAAATTCGTCAAACGCCCCCTCCTAATAGATGCGAGGATTCCTAGCTGACTTCTGTAACCATATAGTGAGAGTGAGGGTTGGGAAAAATCGGTCCCAACACAATTAAAATCAAATTGAGTGCCACTAACTTAAATGGTCAAAAACCTTTTTGGTATCCCTCATTCTAAACAAACAAACAAACTTCAAAAAAGGCTATACAGCTAGAGAGCAGCAAAGGGTCAACCAGACAAGGAATTGAAATATCCAATTCATAGCAAATCCAAGATGGGAATCTCTGGAAAAGACAATTTCAGAGCAATTGGAATCATGTCAAGAAAAGACTATGGAATTGAAACGTGTTAACATTGTTGAGGTGTAAATTTCAAAAGTCAGTTATTTGAAGGTTCCACAACATGGGGATAAAAAGTCCAACTTTCATTAAGAAGAATGATAAAAATAAAAAATAAAAATAAAAACCAACCTAACAAAAAAAAGTAAAGTAGAACACATACTGATAAACTCTTTCGTAACCAAGGCCCACAATGCCAAATAACTGTGGAAGTTACTACTGCAAAACCATTTTCATTTAAAAAATGTAACAATTCCAAGTATATATATATATATATATATATAGTCTAGAGGCTTGAGAAATTAAAATCGAAAAACTATACAATTGAAAATATACGCCCAGATCCCCCTATGGGAAAGGGGCCTGAAAATTTTTGGTTTTGTTTTGTATCACTCACTAAGATCCTGCTAAAAGTCTCTTATGAAGCACTTCTGCCAACATTTCCCTCAAAAAAGCACTTTAATTGAACAGTTTTCTGTTTTGTCTAATCCGATTCTGCTTTCGCTTTCTAAAACTGCAGTAAGTGCATGGACAAATGCGTAAATAAATGGTCGCTTCAGCAATCAAGTTTATGTGAGATTGGCTGCAGAACATTGTGAGAAACTATTGTTTTTAACTTATAAACTGACATCACTTGGCAACTCAGACAGGAAACATTATGCCTAATTGAACTTTCGGTCTTTGTAATCATTTCCATTACGAAGGTGGAACTTCCCTATTGAGGCTGCTAAATTGGACCAAGAACTCCATTTTGACCATCATAATTAGAAAATTAAATAACGAGCATTGGTCTTACGAGACAAACATATTTTATATCTTGTCTAATCTTCTGGTTGAGACTCCATAATTAATTTTCAACACAAACTTTCAATTGTAAAACCACTAGGGTATTTTTTAAGCATCAAATCTAAGATTTAGGCTATTGTTCTATAAATGCAGAAACCTTATTTCGGATATATCCAAGCGTCAAAACTTAAAACCCTAGAATGAAGGTCCTGGTGCTAATATTGTCAATGATGTATTGAGCTACACTCGCTCGGCGACATCAAGAAGGATTCCTTTGGGTGGACATTATGGACAAGGGAACCAACATTCCATCAAGCAAGCACAAACAGCGGAAGAAAATAACAGCAGAAAGAGCAATTTCAAGCCCCCAGTGAGTGGCATTAGCAACCATCACTCATTGCCTAGAGAGTACTTCAGTGGAAAGGGTGGGGCTTCGCAAGGAAATAACAGCAACAATGACAATGATGGAAGTGGGTAACTGATGGGAATCCAAAAGACCAATTATAAAGAAATTCGATATAGCATATCAGAAAGATCCTAGTTCCGTTTGTCCTAGCTTTTGATGTTCTATGTTCCAAGGAGTAGGCAGGCGATGAGGGGGTAATAGAAAGAGCGCTGTAATGCTGTAATTATACCTTCTGTCTCGAATATCCAAAGGACTAAATAATGGTCTGATAGAACCTCCAAATATATTGAAGGATAAAAGATAAACGAACTACAATACCTACCAAGTATTAGAGGTACTTGGACCCTCCCCTCTTGAGATATCACTCAAGCCTTAAGCATACTCACTAATTGGATACCTTCCTTCTTACCTCCTCACTATATTTATAATACTATCTCTAACAACTTCCCTATCTAATTACTAAGGTACCTTCAATACCCTAATAATATCCCTAATTACCCCTAAGGTCATTCCTATCATGGTCATCCCTTATAGTGTATACATGGGTCTATGTGTGCATGTATTTCCGAGAGAGATGACTACTAATAAGATATTAATGCCAAATGATATGCAATCTAAAACTAAATCTCGATAAGAAATTACCTTGAGAAAAGAATAAATATGTTGATTGAGACGAGAGAAAATCTATCGTTGCAAAAGAATACTAGTAGGCGTCAATTTGCAAAAGATTGAATCGTAAACTTACCTCTCCCATGAGTAATAATTAGTAGAGGCAAACACCAGCAAGCATGAAGATATTCGCTCAAGCATTCCTTTCTCAAGGTGCATGTTGGTTTCTCCTCCATCCGAGTGACTGGATATAACGCCAATATGGCTTCCTTTCCTAACTGCACCAGAATCCGAGAACCTCTATAGCTTAGCTTCTCTCAAGAATTAACAATTGGTATTAGGAAATGTATGACCCAAAATATGATTTATATCAAAAGTGCAGCTTAAGGAAAGACAAGGGAAGGGAAGAGATGATATCAGAAGACCTCAGTTAATATAGCTCCGTGGATTTTGTAATGGAAGATTTTCTTCCCAGTTTCAAGTGCATCATGGTTACAAAACGGATCAAAACAAAAACTCAAACTTTTTTTACAACTAATTGTAAGTCTTTTTCAGACTTCCACTTTACTGGAAAGGCATTTCTACTGCTCCAAAAGTAGATCAGTCATACTTCTTCCGCCCCCAATTGAATGACAAAGAGTTACTTTCAATAAGATGCATGGGAGATGTAGTTGCTTTGACTGATTTTGGACTGCGCTCCTTTGGATATGGATAAATATTGGCCAGTTCATAGACACGTTGGAGCAGGGACTTGGGCAGTGGACGCGAGGCATGTGATTGCTTCCGTTCGATCTGTACATTGAAACAAAATCATTACCAAAAATTAGTTATGGAATATAAATTCTCACACATAATGACAAGATTTATTGGAACAAGGAAAAAAACTAAATCATGAAAAATAATCCGCAATTCACAAGAGAGGTGGAGCATAAAAGTTATAAGGCTTACCCCTGTTCTGTTCTGTATGTTAACACAGCTAGCTCTCAGAAGATTTCGCCATTTGTCCTGCTGGGTGAACAAGATAATTAAAATTCAATGGACAGATATAATAGTTAATGAGGATAGTGCATAGATAAATACCCTGAGATCTATAGGCGTGCGATAAGGAGAAGTTGCAAATAGGTGCTTCTTTATATGAGTCCAGCGGCCAGTTCCATATTCAGCAATTCCATCAACTAATCTCATTACTTCAGTAAGGGTCCACATCTTCTGATGCTTCCGCCTATCATGCTTTTTACATCTTTTAGCAGATGAATAAACAATTTTACATTCAGTTGCAGAAGATTCCTCTTCTGATAGAAATCCCTGTAATGTAGAATGAGAGAACTTATAATTCTGAACTAGAGCAGAATTGGTTGCTGTGTATTTGGGGTATCAAGCACATACATACAAATGAAAGAAAGAAATACAAACAAAGAATTGGGAGGGGAAGAAAACAACTGAATTATTACAGAAAAAAATAAGGATGGAGCGGAAGGGAGGGAATCGTAGAAGTCCAAAAAGTAAAAACTGCACATCTGAATAATGTATTTCACCAATCAAAGTGAATCGGGGGGTCTGCAATGCCCCAGATATAAACAAAATAGTCAAAGCCTCATAAATAACCACAAGTCCCAAAAGCTTCAACTCCTACGATGAAATGGCTAATCATTTATTTCTCAACACACCCCCACATTCGAGGTCAGACTATTTATGAATAGATTGAAACTGATACATCCCTAACTTTTGAACTTCAAATCTCCTACTCTAATATCATGTTAATTACAACAAAATACTAATCCCAAGGATGAATATTATCATCTGAATTATTTCTTAAAAGGAACCAATCAAAGATATGCAGACATATAGAACAATTTGATGAATTTACTATTCAAAAAGAAAACAATATGATGGATGTAGAACTTATGCAATATATGGAGATGAGTGAAGCTGTACAGAACTTTGCAAGAAACAGCAGCAAAAGTGTCAACACAACACTTTTCCATATGCAAACCCCTCACACATGTAGATAGACAAAATTTTTAGCTCTTTCTTTCCGAAAAGATATAAAAAGCGTCATGCATAGCTCCATTAAAGTGGTTTCAGCCTTGAATCAATCTAGAAAGACTTACTTACCGCCAGATGAACCATTAAAGAAAGAAACACATCAATAAATAATGCAAATAAGACAAATAAATCTCAATGATATTTATACTGGCAGGATGAACAGATATCAAGAGAGAGAACTCTCGTACTGAAACTGGTACATGCTTCTTTGGAAGTCTTCTTTGGGATCGAGACTGCACTGGAATAGAAGTACCACAATGTGATTCCCCTCCAGGCGTCAACATTTGTACCTTATGTCTAATATGATTAGATTCTTCAATAGACGTGACTTTCACGTATTTATCTTTTGTTGGAGGCTTTCTCTTTCCCTTGTGACTTTCAGACTTCGAATCTGCAAATTCTTCAATGTATCTTCGAGTAGGCTTACGCAACCTCCTATCCCTTGAACAAATGGCAAGCTTGCTTGCCTCAATATTACCCTTTACATTTTCATCGGATAAACCACCATTTTCTAGACACCTTTCATTAGTATCAAACTTATGGATATTTATATTATCAAGTATCGTACTGCAGATGCTGCCGTCAAGTGGTGTTTCACACCTACCTTTGGTCCTCAGACCAGCGCACAACTCGTGAGTTAAACCCCTGTCAACAGGTGTTGTATTATTGGATTCAGCCTCTCTGACCATTGCTGCTGATAATTCTGATATTTCAAAAGCTTCAGTATCATTCCTGCTTGATCCCTGAGACTTACTCTCTGAACTTAAGTTTCCCAATTGTAATCCCCTATTTCGTCTGAAAGAATTTTCAGCGACTTCTGTATCTGTGCTTTAAGAATAAATAGTTAAAGATAAAGAAAAAAAAAAAGGATAAAGAAAAAAAAAAGAGGGGGAAACATAGGCTTGAGACTACTGACTACATATGAAATTTCTTAACTAATAACAACACAAGACCAGCAAAACACTATATATATATGATGAGAAGATAAACATCACATGTGTTTGGTAGATTGTTTGTTGCATGGAATTCCTCTACTTCATTGTCATCAGCCAGAAGTTGATCAAGATCCTACAAAATTCCATTTCACCTCAATCAATTAAAAAAAGAAAGCTGAATCTGATTCTGAATTATGAAACATTCAAGTTTTGTTCGTTTTTTGCTTTTCTTTTCCTTCCTAGATGAGAAACCAAAAGGGTTCATTAAGGAGGTACAAAAAAGGGGTGATAAAACACCCATGGAACCAGGGGTTTTACATAAAAGGATCCCAATTGGCATAGATCAAACAAATGTCATACTAACAAAAAGCCTTGGACAAAGAACACCACAAAAAGTAAAGAATCTAACTAAATTCTGAAAAAAATCCAAGGGAATGTGGGAATTCTGGAAATTTTTCTTATTCCTCCTCTCAAACCAGTGTCTCCAAATAAGAGTTTTAACGGCATTAATCCAAGTTTAGCCTTTCCCCTCAATGGATGTCCACAAAAGAGTTGAGCTGAACCACAGACATCTTGGAGCTCATTATAAAACACTAGGAAATACCAAAAAGGCATGTAGGGGAGTGATTTTCGCATAGCCCCGTCATGTTTACCATTGTCAAAATCATGTTTAGCAAAGGTGTTAAAATGATTTTGGGAAAATCAAAACTACCTATTTGTAGTAGATTGGTCGGTGATTTTGTGAAAATTGATTAACTGGAGATCATATTGGAAAATGAATATAAAGAATACCCTTTTATTTCACCCCATTTCTACCCTAATTCTGGGAAACGTTAAATTCTCCTAAAATTGTCCCCCTCTCTAACTTTCTCATAAAATGTTTTGCCCTATATGTTATTTCTATTTGAAATTTTGGTTCCTCTCTCTTTCTTACTTTTTCCTCTCCAAAAGTTCTCTCACACTTGAAATTTTATATTCTCTCTCTCAAATTTTTTCCTTTTCTCCAACCCTGCTTTCTCCACAAAATTTTTCTCTTAATTTTTTCTCACTCTAAAACTTGTGCCTATCTCTCAACTTTTTTTTTTCACTCTTTCTAACTTCTTTTCTCTCTAATTTGTCCCTCTTTCTAACCTTTTTTTTCTCTCCAAAATTTGTCCCTCTTTAAAAATAACCTTTTTGTGCCTCCAAGTTATTGGTTCCCTTCCACAAAAAATCTTGATTTTCTTCTTCAAGCTAGCAGCCACTTTGAACAAGATTTTAAACACAAAAAGAATGATGATACTGGAGAAAACAATATTAGCGAGGGTTAGTCTACCCCCTTCTAAAAGTACCATACTCCTACACTTTTGCAGCTTATAAAAGATTCTTTATTCCACTAGGCCCGCCCCAGACCTGCTGGGTTGGGTGGCCGGGTTAGCACCCCTCATCTTGTTCTCCCTACGCAGGTAACACCCTACTCCTCGTATAAAAATATGCCCAAGCAAACCAGAATCCAATTTCCTTGGGAACCCGCATAACTGAGCTTACTCCTCAACACTAAACATCAACATTAGTGGTTGCAATGATAGATTGAGAAATTTACTTGGTGACCAGAGACTAGTTCAAAGAGGGAGACCACCTTTAAGATGATTAATGTGATATGAATCCAATCCTTTCCAGTAATTAGGCCTCTAGAACACCATTTAGTAATCAAGTCCAAATTGCTTGAAATTCTGCCACAGGTGCATGGGATCACCTTTTATAAAGCCTCTAGAGGCTCTAAACAGATCTCTAGGCTTCCCATCAATGAAAATGCGACCATGAACCAGAGAAATCTATTTGGGGGTCAAAACCTTTCTTTGTAAGAGCTCGCAAAATAAAATCACAATGAACCATATCATAACCTTTTGCAAAGTAGATATTCACAGAATCCAATCCACCCTTTTTCTTCCTCCGTAATCATCTACACTTTCATTGGCCAAAATAATGGCTAATTTATTAGAAGCAATGGTGCATTGAAGGAGCTCTCTCTTTCAACCTGGCAGCAAGAACCATGGAGATAATTTTGTAGAGGATAACAACAAAACTGATGGGTAGACGGAGGCTCTCAACTTCTTGGGGAGTTGACCTAGGTCTCAAAGGCACGTTAATGCACAAATCAAGAATACCATTTTCAAGGAAGTCCCAAAACACCTTAAGAAGATAACCAATGATGTTCCAACGCCTTTTTTAAAAGCCCAGAAGAAGGCTAGGGCTTCACAAGAACCACCACTACCTTCTTTTTTTTTTTTTTTAGCAGTTTACAAAAGCCAACACCATCAGTAGCCACTTTGATCTTGTCAACGGTAAAAGGTCTTCCAGAAAGCAGCCTGTCTTCCACTGAGATAGATCTGCAATCAAAATCATCAAAAGAGCAAAGAGGAGAAACTCATTTGGGATTTAAAGAAATCAGTGATTTAAGCTTCAATATCCTCTTCACTGATAAGACTGCAGACATCCTTACTCTCAATTTCAATATCAATCACCATCTCCTACTAGCTTTAACAAGTAGATGAAAAGAACCAGAGCTTTCATCTCCTTGAAGTAACCACTTAAATTCATGTTGTCAAGCAAAGAAGACAAACTATTTTAGGTAGGATTCATAGGCAAAATAACTTGCCCATAGGGTTGAAGAAGAGAGAAATTAGTCTAAGGGTATCTTTTCCAGGCAACATACTCCTTATTCACACTAAGACACTGCCTCCTTATTCACACTAAGAAACAACTATTTAGCACACCACCATCTATATTTCCCCTACTTTGAACCTCAAAGGTTGAACGTTACCTTACCATATCTAGTTAACTAGGAGGACTCGCAGATCCTTGAAAGAGGAAAGCATCCTCGTTTTCAAAGGAGGAAAGCTTTTTTTATTATTCAAGTAGAAAGTATGGGCCCATCTCCTGTATTTTTAAGTAGACTCACCTTTCTTGATAGGAAAGAGATTGGTTTAACATGTCTGGAACTTTGTCCTTTGTTGAGCAATAATTGGGTTTAAAGAGTACTAGTGGGAAGAGGAAGTTAGATCTGAGGCATCCCGTTGGGATTAGAAATGGGCTTTTGAATGATTAAAAACCAAAAATAAATGGTCCAAACACATCATTATCCCTTCTTAATAGCAAATTAGCAACACAACGTAATGCAATACATCTCTTTGCATTAAAGGACATGATTAAATGATCAGTTGGCATGACATGAAAATATCATTAAAGATAGAAGCATACTTCAAATTTAAGTTCATGTTCGCCTGCCTGCTTGCTATTAGAATCCAATCCACCTTATAGATAATAAAAGAAATTAACCAGTATTAGATCACTTACTGATGTAGATAAAATTCTTGTAAAATAAAATTGAAGGGTCTAAGCAGTATGTGTTGAACTTGATAGTCAATATCACCTTTTTGGATTTCTCCACCATACAAGGAAAAGGTTTCCAACATATATTCACATCACACCAATTTAGATCCTATTTATACATTTAAACTTATCGGGAAAATAGGATAAGACAACAGTTTACCAACAAATGTTAAAAGCCAGAGAAAATTGATGGAGGAAGCCCAAGGAATAGAGTGCAAATTAGCACCACTAAAAGCATCAGGAAGGGATCATAAGAAATCACCACGATTTGTTTGTATCCCATAGTCAAAGTCACAGGAGAAATCTTGAGCTCTCAAGCAATCTCCTAAAACATGGTTGCTTTTGGGCTCCACAAGTAAATGCTCAACCTCATTTGGTTCATTTAATGGTGCAGGAAGAAAAGATCCATCCACCTTTACCTATGAAGAAAAAATAGAAAATTGGCACAAGTCAGAAAGATAATATCCAGGAAGAAGAATCAGGTTTCAATTATGATCATGCAGAGAAGCATCACCCCAATATTAAAAAATGAAAGGTAAAGAGCAATTTAGAGAGGAGATGTGGGCTAAAAGAACCACTACTCTGATAGGAATCAAAAATTGAAAAGAAAGCTAACAGAAAATAGTACGCAAAAAAAGAAGGAAAATAGTTTTCCAAACACTCTGAGAGCCCAGACTCTCTCTCTCTTTTTTTTTTTTTTTTGATAAGAAACAAACATCATATATTCAACCACAAAAACAAAGAAACAGCCTAAAGGCAGAGGGTCGAAGGAACCCTCCCCAAAGAACTAAACAATCACAGCTTTCCAATCACGTATAATCATTTGAAGACTATTGTTACAAAAAACCTTCTTATGGATTGTAGCTCATCAAGAAGTCGTATGTTGTATATTCACACAAAAAAAAAATCTACCAAGGACTTCTTATCTTCGAAAGGTCTATTGTTTCTTTCTTTCCAAAGGAACCAAATCAAGGCTCTCCCTGCACAATTCCAGAGAGTGAACACTTCACCCTTTAAGGGCTACTCCCCCAAATCCTTTTGAGATAAAATCACCTATCTTTTTAGGAGGACAAAAATCACCTATCTTTCTATGAGGACAAAAGGACACACACAACAGGGATGCAATATGAGACCAAGCAGTAAATGCGAACGGACAATGAATAAAGAGATGATCCACCGACTTGAAATATAAATGAAAATCAATACAGAATAGTATTGATATTAAGAAGAAAAATTACAAGTTTTTCAAGCACTTCAATCACTCTCCTACAAACTATTTCCAGAAATCTCAAACGTCTAACTTTCTCTATTTATGACCACCTCCCACTAACCCAACTCCTTGCTAAATATTCTATGGCATATTAAATGAAAAATTAATAGAATTGATATTGGGGAAAATTTTTGAGGACCTACAAAGGTGCCGATACAATCGTGTTATCAAAGTTTTGATGTTTACACAATATTAACGTACAGATACAATGGCACCATACATTATATTTGTCCTCTATCATTCAAAAAAACTCAAACGATGTAGACTCAAATCATGGAGAAGCATTTACGTGTATCAATGTTGGAAGGATGAGGCAAGCAATATAAGATATGCATTCGAGGTATTTAATGAATAACATTTTAAAGGTAAAAGCAATTTTCTGATAATGAAAAATTTCTCACCCAGTGAGATTTCATATTTGTGAACTTCTGGCAGAAATGCACTTCTTGATCCATAATTAGGTATACTTTTAAGCTCAATCCTACGTTTCCTGATATGAATTAGTAGCTCTAGCACAACAAGAGAAGGAGAAAAGCCATATTAACATTATTATTGTTGTGAACGAGCATAAACTACAAGGATAAAACACTTCATTGAAATCTTCTACTTTCTTGTCTGAATTTTTCATGACAAGATACCTTCATAAATTTTAAGTTGAATAAAAAGGCACTTCAAGTTGGTTTCTTTCAGAATCATGTATCAAAATGTCGATTCGAAGAAGTTTCTCATCTTTTGGATCAAAATTTCAGGTATGCCATTTAGAGATGTATACGTGCACAACAAAATCACTAGTTACTATTCATAACAAATAAAATGAACAACAATTTACACAACTACCAGTCCCACCACATGAGTAGAGCTATGATCTTCCTAAGTTCTTTTAGGTAACTACTGGACCTACTCCTCCACTTAAATGCCCATGCTTTCACAATTACTACACAAAATATGTTGACCCACAACATGCAATTTTACCTATTTAGTAATTGAATTCAAAAAGGCTGACATTCTCGAGAATTTAAAATGTACCAACTTGTTATACTAAATCCAATGAGGTCAGCAACTACAAAATGGAGTAACATAATTAAATAAATAAATAAATAACTCTACTTTTTTATAGTCAGTAAGTATTACTTTCATCCGCTAAATATTATAATATACTTATATCCTAATTTCTCCATTAGTTGCGTAACCTTCAAATAGTCACGCAATTCAACAGAATATCACAACAGGAAGTAAAGATTGACCAAATTTCACAGAAGATACACAAAGAAGATTCCCGAAAAACAATTGAATGCAGAAAGGAAAACGATAAAGTTCAGAGTTCTGAAGCAAGGACAATGAAAAATATAGAGTGTGGAAGTAAAAACGGAATGACGGGCAGCAGGCGAAATGCAAAAAGATAACCAGCACGGTCAATATAACGCACTAGAGAGGGGAAACAGAACGAAAAGGAAGGAAGTACGATCCTCAGTTTCCTTCCTCACCACGGTAACCAAAAAAATAGTAAACTAAAAGTTGATTCCCAAGAACCCCACCCCGTGCCATCAAGTCCACTGACTCAAAACCATCAATCAGTGAGCTCGAAGAATCTAAAGCAGACAGTACCAGCCACAGAAACAGAAACAAATTCGAAATTCGCAGCAGAGAAGGGGAGTACCAGCGAGGAAGCTGAAGATCCGAGCTTAGCTTGGAGAGAAGATGGATAAACCAGTGAGCGGCGTCAGAGGTCCGAAACCGGACAGTAGAAATAAAAGCGCCAAATTAAGCGACGACAATTCGGAAGGGAAGTGAATTTATGCGGCGTTTTTTTTGCTCGACGGAATCCAAGACGTTTTCTGCTCTCTTTTCTATTCTTCAACTTAATGTGCGTCTGAATTCCGCGGCGAGTACAGGTGGATTTCGTTAGCGCTTGTACTGATTGACTTTGTCCGTGGCGTTACTCTTTTGACGGCGTTGGGACATTTCGCGGCTTAACTGATAACTGATAAGGTTGCCGCGTCGTTTCCATTCCGTTCGGCATTCCGTTTTTCTTTTTTTTACGGATAAAAATATGTGGATAAATGCATCAGAAAATAACAACTTCAACTTAACTTAATCCATATATTTCCAATCAAATAATTTTACGTTCGAACTTCCACTTTCACACGTTTTACTTCAATAAAATCATACATATATATATATGATACATTGAATGTTAAAAAATCTCACCACATTATAGATTTAAATGTAACATTTAGAGGAACCACCTCCATAAAAGAATATATAATAAAAAATTATATATTTATATATTCCTTTTTTTTTTTAGAAATTCGAATTTTTTACTTATAAAAATATTACCGATACCTTTAACTAGTTAATAAAAATATTACCGATATTAATAACTATTAAACTACAAGGCATGTCATTCGCATAAAACTCTTGTAACTATGATATATAGGGGTGAAGTCTACATAAAAGCTTCAAACCTAGCCTCCTTTCCAACATAAATTCCAACTTGGTTAACTTTCACAATCATCATTGGATTTCTTGTCAAATAATATAGTGAATTACTTTTTTTTCCCGATAATTGAGAGTCGGAGCTTTGTTGCCCTATATCGGGACATTCGAATGCCCCTACCCCATTCAGAAGTCATAAAGGATTTTTGTATTAAACTCATCAGAAGAGACCACTAAGTCAGTATGACCAAGAGACCCCAAATTCTTATCAATTGAACTTTGGACTACCACTCCGAGCCAAATGCAATACATTATTTTGATGACAAAAATTCATTACACTGTCCAAACAAGGTAATAATTCTGTATATTTCATGTCACAGTTGGGTGCTGTATCAAGGAATGGACATTAAGCTACAAGAAGTCAGCCCAGTAAAAGCTATGTTCAAGATCATTTGAATCTAACCTGTACAAATCTACTTATACTTTTGGCCTTCAGTTCCTACAGCTAAGAAATTCATGGACGCCATGCCATGGCAGGGGCAATACATTTACAAAGGAAACTAAGCAATGAAAGAACTAGCTAAACTCACTTCTTTCGGAAGGTGACCATCAGAAAGTAAGCAACTACACGGCTGATTATGCCAAACAAAATGAGCATCTCTAAACAAAGTTGCCAGTCATGAAGATCATAGCCATTTTCCATCAGTGAAGTACACCGAGTTATCAGCCATACACCAGAATACCTGCCAGGACAACATTGGATTTGGAACTTAGATAATCACAACACGTTTTTCAATTCAAAGTACAACAGTATTATTAAGATCAGACTTCAGAGTGGCTTTATTTTAACAAGATATCTAAATTATGGTTCCATCAGTAATTAAAGCGCATTTAGGCTTTAAAAGTTCCATTATGAATCAACTCAAAAGTATAAACACACAATTGAATTAGGGTGTATTTGGGAGTGACGATAGAAGGAGTAATTTTTGAAAAAAAATATTCAAGTATAATTGAATTTCCAAAATCACCGTCCAAGTGATACCTTAAAAATCAATTTAAAGTGACTCTAAGATTTCTTAAAATCAATTTTCTAATTTACCAAACATGATCAAAAGTGATTTTGAAAGTGGAAAGCCAAAATCACTCTCCAACACACTCTTACTATTTTCTCTGATTCCTGAACCCAATATTTAATATATAAAGCTGTTTTCTGTCTATGGCTATATCAATCAGTATGCCTTGAGATTGAAATTATCATTTCCTTGATTCATCTTGCAAGACTCATCAGGCAGAGGCTTGAATTTCCCAGTTATTGATTTGCCGTTTAGAAGTAAAAACATATATGCCGACTAAAATTCTTTTAAGTCCCTAGATATCTGAACCAACTGGTGATTATAGTGCCAAATTTCAAGAACAATTATTTATAGTCACACCAATTATTTTCAACATGTATAGTGTATCTATGATCTAGTCACGATAACTTCAGAGAAATATTAATCGTGCATACATCTTGAATATTTCTAACTAGTTTTTTTTTCTCTCTTTAATATAATTAAATGCAAGCTGAAGATGATAAATACACTGAATTATAAGTAACATACAAAATAGACTTCAATATTCTGGATAGAACGTGAAGGAAGAGGACAAATTACCTTTCTGCATTTGCGAGGACAAAACCTTCGAGTGCCCACTTAGGGTAGCAAAGGCTTCCTAAATATTTGACTACTGGACTATTTTTATCTTGATTTGCAATGAGGGTCATAACTACAGGAAGAAGCACTGACCACTGCAAGAAGAGAGGAAGTAAGATATAGGTAAAGGGGATCAATTTTTTGTCCACAATATCAATTAGACCATATAATGAACACCATATATAAGAAATCCCAAAAAGACGCCTATTGCTTGACAAAAAGTAATAATGTTGCAAACGTAATTTGCATGTGAAGAGTTTAGAATTGTAAATTTCTAGTATGTACCAATTGAGCAGGAGCAGGTTGAAAGTAGATGGCAAGTGCATAGGCCATGCCAGTCACACAGTACACTAGACAAACTAAAACAACATAGTTATCTGTAAAAGATGATCTTGGGTTATTGAAGAAATAAAACATAGACAGATAAACCAGCGGCTTGACGATTGTATTGAAAAGGTCAAGTGTGTCTTTTGCAAGAAAATGCGCCAGACTGCTAATCCCTGATGCACTCTCTCTCCAATACTGTAACTTGTCAAGGGAAAATGATCTCAGTGCTGAAATCTTGCATAGGAGGGCTGCAAAAAGAGTAGGGCTGCAAATAAGCAAAGAGCATATGACATAAGACATATAGTGGGATGAACTTCTAACTGACAGTAATCAAGCATATACTAGGCAGTGTCTCAATTGTTTTACGGGGAAGTTTATACTTGTCATGGCATATAATTAAGTGATTGAAACTAGTTTTGATTCCAAAAAAAAAAAGCTCCAGGACTATTACTCATGCAAAACACCATTTTCATTGGCTCTGAAATAAAGAGAAACAGTAAATTTAAAGGCCTTATTATAAACAATTTATTTCCCAACTGGCAACTCACAAATAGCAATGACGGTGAATGTATAGCCAAGGGAACCAAATGTTTCATCGTTCACTTTAGTAAGAGTTCCTAAGCAGGCTCCAGCAAGTAATAACATCAAGTAATCAGCTAATTGTAGTCTAGCTTCTCGCAGTCGCTGCTTGCTCACCCTGGCAAAGCAAGAATAATCATGAACAAAGCAATTATTAAAAAAAAAATATATATATATATATACACACACATACATATAAAAACTGAGGGAAAAAAAAAACTAAAAGAGAACCTAAAACCAAAAACCAAACAACGAAACCTTCAATGCCAACTTTCAACCTTCAATAAGCGAGACCCACAGCGAAGTTACATGCATAACATTGCTGTACACTTCCATATTTGTCTATGTTTCACAATATGAGAGCAAATCTGTACAACTTTGACCTATCTATGTACCATTGACAGGCAAGTGACTCTCTGCTACGGTTTCCTTGTTTGAATAACGAAGTCCTGGCTAAATTTTTCAATATTCAATGTCTTGAATCGTATTTAATTTTTATCTACAAGAATGTCTTATCCTCTTATTAAATTGTAATATAACTTATAATTCATCATGAATGTTTGTTCCCTACCAAAATATAAAAAAAAAATGTAACATGAATAAATAAATAAATAAATCATAGGCTAAATATACAAAAAAAAAATGGCTGCTAATCTTTTAGGTAATCTTTTAAACTTTTAACTTTACCCTATATTAAAAATTCTCAGGTTCTGCATGAAGTTTGTCAACGAAAGGTTATATATCATTAAATTATTGTTTATTAACATATTTGGACATACTGACATATCACTTAGATGACATTTATGTATGTATATGCATAGAGTGTATTGAGAAAGGAGCACTTATTATTGTACTCCTTTAAGGATGTGAAATTCTAACACTTATAATCATATTGAACTTGCTTGCTGATGCATATAAAGTACAATGATGTAATAATTTCAACAATCCTTACCTTCCCAAGAAATACCTAAACTGTCGTGCTATCCCAGGAGTTCTTCGGTTAGATAGATCCTTAGAACTTAAGAAGTTCTGTTCTAAATGATCGTGCTGCATTTCAACATTGAGCTTCACGTCCTGCCATGAGTCTCCTGCTTCATCACTAGGATTTCCTCCATGTGTTGAGCCGCTCGCAGACGCATCAAAGTCACACAATTTCAGCATGTCAGGAGGTACTGGATACCCATTATGAAGCATCCAACGGACGGGAAGTTGTTCACGAGTCACACCCGTTGGCTTCTCCAGACCCTCAAGAATGTCAATGAAATGGTCAGGAGGATTAACACGATCTGGCACCGTGATCCCTATACCAGCGAAGTACTCTTCAACTTTCTTAACAGATCCATGATATGCAGTAAGCCCACCCTTGGCGAGAAGTATCAAATCGTCAAACATCTTAAACAACGAATAGCTGTCTCCACAAAAATGAAAATGAGTTTATTTATGATTGTAGAACCAAATAACGGAAAGTGAAAGTAATACCAAATTAACAGGAGTTGATAAGGGCGAGAGAGAGATGAAGGTCTCCTTATGGCAAAAAAATTAAGAAAGGCCCATTAGGAGGGAGAGGAATTATCTATGATTTCAAGGTTTTTATGCCAAAAAAAAAATCTTAAAAGTCAAGTAAAAAGTAATTGACGGTGCAGAGAAGAATTAAGTTCAGATATCGTTTAAGAAGCATTGAACAAGTATCATGAGAAGTGGCATTCTAAAATTCCACATAGGGTAAGTTGGGGGCAGGCTATATTTTTCTAATTATTTAGAATCCATTTAGCCATACATACCTAGGTTGGTGAACTACCATACAGATGTTCACACCTTCAAGGGCTTCCCGCCGAAGTGACCGAAGAAGTAATTGAGAAGAGGCACTGTCGAGACCAGAGGTGGGCTCATCCAGGATCAATAAGGAAGGTTCCATGACCATTTCAATCCCAACATTAACTCGTTTCCTTTGACCTCCAGAGATTCCTCTTTTCTCCACAGTTCCAACAAGTGAATCTCTCACTGCTTGCAGTCCCAAGGACTCAATGACTCTTTCCACCACAAGAACTTTATCAGGTTTTGGCATGTCAGCAGACAGTCTACAGAGTAGAAGAATCCATCATTGCGAAAAAAGCAATATTTAACCAAAACATTCAAACCTTTTGCTTTAACAGATCCAAGCCACCGGTGTAATTATTTTAATATAAAAATTTTTAGAAGATAAAAGACATCACAATATTATCTGATTCAACCAGAACAAATAGGCATATACCAAATAAGCTATCAAATTTTCAAATATACTAAAGAAAACATGAAACAATAGGAATTTCGGGCTAATTAGAGAATTTTACAGATAGAGAGCATGCAATCACATGCAAACGTAGGGATTAGTTTTGGTCTTCAAATGGTGATAAAACTTATAAACGGAAATCCAAAAAATAAATAATATGTAAGTTCAACATAGGATAATTAGTATCCAAGCAAGAGCGAGTCCTGAAAACTGGAGTGCACACAGGTCACCATTCGGCTATAGTGCAGTGTAAGAATATGAGTTGATACTTCAGTCAAGAATGGTAGAGTTCTGAATAAAGAAAATGTACATACCTGCACCTAGCACTAAATCGGAGATTCTCCTCAACTGTCAAATTTCCATGCACTATATCATCTTGTGGTACAAAACCAATAATTTTTTTATATGAATAGATGGACTCAGATTTTCCATTGATAAGAATTAAACCAGTCATGGTGCAACCAGTTGCCTTTCCTGCCAAAGCTGAAAGAAATGTTGTTTTCCCTGCCCCTGATGGACCCATGACTGCCGTAACCCGACCTGGCATAATCTTCCCTGTGACACACCTCATTAGATACTTGTGTTTCCCCTTCAATGTCAGACAAAGATCTTTGAAAGCTACTTCAATCACAGGCCTAGTCTTAATTTCAGTATCAGTGGCCATTGAAATCACTCCTGAGAAAGTCAAGTTTTTGTTTTGCTGTTGCATTGCTTTCTCTTTCTCTAGCTGACCATAAGCATACTTAAAAATTTGACTGTGGGTATGCATTTGTTTGGCTTTTGGTGCATGCTTTTTGATATTTTTATCTCCAATCTGCAAGTTAAATCCTTCATGGCTATTTGGATTGTTGTCAATGGACTGCATCATTTTTGTAAGGTTATTGTCCTTTTTCTTTCCTTTTGAAGAACCAGACTGTTGCTCTGGTGCACCTGAAGAGCCGGGATGCACAGGTGGTAATTGACCCAAACCTTTCGACTGATCGGACTGTTTCGATGATTTTTTACGAGAAAACGTCCGTGACAATTGTTCTTGCAATCCTGTGGCATGCTTCTTGGCAATATCTTTTGCAGATTTCCACCTTTCACGAGCTTGTGCTGTTTCTCGAGCATGTCTTGCAGCAGCTTCTCTTCGTTTAGCCAGCCTTCTTTCCCGTGTAGTAAGAACTTGATCAGAACAATTATAAATGATCAGCAGCACAGTACTTAGTGCAACCTACAATGATGTGAACAATATTAAAATACATGGTTAAAGACAAAGAAAAAGCAATTCAATGATCAATAGTAAATCATAATAAAAATTGTTTCTATTAAATAAGCCAAACATGAAGAATAAGAGGTACTGACATTGCATTAAATGGTTTCACAAATGTATACGTTAGTTATTCAGTTTATGCCAAGAACAGTTCCAACCTATAACTACGCAAAAAATTCTGCAAACAGAATGATCATGAATGAAAATAGTCATTGAACATGATTGCAAAAGGTTATTGGAGTGCAATGTGAAGAACTTGTGTAGTTCTAATCTCCGAAGTAAATTAATATGACAACCAGAATCACAGATTTGGATGATATCTACTCTGCCAAAACACATTGTATCTAATCAAGATTTGATTTTCAGCTTTCATCCCAAAGCATAGACAGAAGAAAAGTTACTTACAATGAGAATAATCCCATAGGCATGTATATTTTGGTTGGCAGTGTTTGGATTGCAGGTTGCCAACTTGAAGCATGCTGCAAAACCATTACTAAATATAATTCATTGTAATCGAGTGAAATGTTAAATTCCTTGTATGCTTACAATGTGCTTTAGAATTTCTCAAATAAAATACTATAAAATTTTTGAAGAAGAATGAGTTTAAAGAGAAGTCAGATAATCGTCATATTCTGTCAACAGGGGTTAGATAGGCATTCCTTTCTCCCCTTCTTATTCATCGTGGTGGCCAATGTCCTTGGCACACTCATACAAAGAAATAAGGGAGGCATCTTAAAGAGTTTTGAGCAGATGGTTGATCTCAGTCATCTCCAATTCATAAAAGATATTGTTCTAGTATACTCAAATTGTTGAATGCCACTTTCCAAATAGGCCCTTTTTCAGCCTAGTCTTATCTTTCTCTACTTCCCTTCACTCTCCCGAGGCTTTGATTGGTGTTGTATACAATTTAGAATAGGGAAGGGTTTGAGGCCCCTTCACTTTGGAAGAGAAGTAAGACCCTCAAAAACTGAGTAAGTCCTTTGTATTCTTCTCTTTCACTCAAATCAGCACATTGCCATAAATTTCCGTTTCAACTTATTCTGCCTATCAACTACATCTCTTTACTTCAACAATTCTGTTTCTCCCGTGTCATACATTATATTTTAAAAGGCTTATCCTGCAACTTCCATTACAAAGAAATAGAATCCAAAATAAATGATATGCAAGTAGATCAAACCAAATGGCCCCACATACTTCCACAGAATTATCTTACTATTAAAATCATTTCAAATTTCAAACTGATACAAGATGGCACATGACAAAAATTAAATCTCGGGACTTACGTTGTTGAAAAGTAGAACCCATCCTGCAGTAATGCCTAACATAGAAGTAGGAACATAGATTAGAACAATGACACAATGAGAAAGACAGCAAATATCACGTACTAATGTAAACTAGAGTCAAAAGTAATTGAATATCACATACTAATCTGAACTAAATTAAGCTGTTGTCTGCTTCAATTAAGACCCTTGTACATATCAAGATAAGAAACATGACTAACAGTGTGAGTTTACAGATGAGGATTAATACCCACTACTGCAAGAAACTCTGCTAGTGGTAGTAGGGCAGTATGATCCTGGCGAACAAAAAATTTCACTGCTGCTTCCAACATCAGCCCATAAATCTGCTCCTCCGCAGGTATGATTAGGTTTTCCAGGAGGCATTTGGTAACTATATCTACAGATCATATCACAATGTTGAAAGGCGTACAATATAGAATTCAGTAGTTTGAGCAGAGAATCACTTTGACAAGGGATATGAACTTACGGGTCACATATTCCAGTTGTCTTATTCAGCTTCGCAACAGGACAATAAGATCCTAATGGGCAAGCTTCATTTATTTTTTGGAGAAGAAAAAAAGTGGATGTGTTAGGTGGAGGTTCAAATATTTCATTCACGATTTTTGCACCAGCTACGTGAATCAAATTATAACATAACCCACAGTGAATCATCAGAAATGTAGGCAAAGAGCTTGAAAGTCAAATAACAACTAACAAAAAACTAACTGTCAACAAAATATTTAGTCCAGACGGACCAGACCAATGTATATCAAGGTACCTTCCTGATTAGGGAAAAATACAATGAAAGATCATTTTTAGCTTGAAGTCTCTTGTCTTTTATATAGATTTTTAATGAAATTTTCATTCTTGAAAGCATAAATTATATACCTTATGTTTCTAGTTATTTGATTCACAAATAATAATGAGGTTCTGAAAAACTGTGAAGAAAGTAGTCGTCTATTAAACAGGTGTGATTTCATCAGGTACAGAACAAGAAGGGCTGAAAAATAATAAGAGGTAATTTAATCACATACTTACGTATCATGCATGTAAGCCCCTGGGGACAAAAGAAACCCTCACAACAAGGTTGACAGTCTTCAGTTCTAGAAGGAAGATTAGTAGCTTTGAGGTCAACCTTCTTATTTTCGCCAAGACTGCAACTCCAACCTGGTTCACATCCAGAAACCCATGAAGTTAAATTGCAGTTCGAGTTAGGTTTTATGTAAGTGTACACAGTCCCTAAATCTGGCCCCCTCGTAGTGAAACTCTTGAAGAATAATCTAAGCTCAGCTGCATTACATAGTCGTTGGGTAAGATCTCCTGTTGAGGAATTAATATGTGCCATTAGGAGCGGAGGAAAAGTTGTAAGCAGGAAAATGCTTATGAGGAATGCAAATATAAAAGAAAGATGGTACAAGTGAATTCAATCAATTCAACCAATCAGCCCTTTTCAGTTTAGATCAATTTGTTAACAATAACATCCCCCGCTTGTTGCAACCTGAGCAACTAAAACAGATTAATATGTCATATACCTTCTCGTGCAATTAACAATTACAGGACTTAATTCTCAATTTAGAGTTCATATATAGTTCATACTTCAGTGGGTTGCCCACTAAGAGTAGAGAGGTGGGGAAGCGCTAGAGAGAGCATCATCCCCCAAAACGATTCAACGGATACCACTTTTGGTCTCTCGTCTCTAACAATTGATGTCTACTCTAGTTGTTATGCTTGCCTCTGTTGAAATTCTTTAACACATTGTTTGAAATGGACCATCAAGTTAAAATCTTCTCCTTGAGGGTTGAATGCACCCCCGTACTCCCATATGTAGTAATTCCTAAACTATTTTTTCCCTTTGTAATGAGAATCATCCTAATAAATAAAAACACTATTTCTATTGAAGAGGAACAACAGATCAATAAAGACGCATGAGCTACATCAGGATAGATACACCTCTTTTTTTGTTATCCTAAGTTTTAGGACCTGATGGGTTACCCTCAACCAACTAAGATATCTGTGTGCAGTTTCTCTCATCCTCAAGACTAAAATGCCGTAAGATGACACATTTGAGGATTAAAAAACTTGAAATAGTATTTAGCCTGTAACCTTCTTATACAACAAGAAAAAGAAAAAGTTTATTTTTCCTTCACGTTATTTAAGAAAAAATCAACTGAACTTAGAATGTCGTACCATTTGTCTTCTTAATACACGAAGTCAAGAACCGCGTGTTGCTCTGATAATTGAATGCCCCATTCCAATCGGAGTTCCTGGTAAAAAAACAGTGGACTGTCGAGTTAAGAACTTGAATGCAGCAACACTAAGTAACAAACTAGATCGGATGATTACGCACAAATCCTTTACACAGAACGCCCAATTCGTCCCAATGTCATTGCTCATAATGCGTGTCATATTTGTGAGAATACCATTAACTTTCTGTGTGATAGAAGGAAGCAAGGCCGGATCACCGGTCTGATGGTACTCATCTTCATCCGCGCAAAGAATGGTCGGAAATAGACTTAGAACAATGACTAGAATCAACAACATATGAGATAGACAGCATCCGGTTATCCTTTTTACACGCATTTCCTATAGCTTGAAGTTTCCCAAGATAAATTCGCATAAATAGCTAAAGTAATGAGGATTCAAAACCATGGGAACATATCCCACACACCCTCTAGTTTTCCATCGCAATCAGCAACGAAAACCCAAGAGGGGATTCTGAGTAAAATGCATAGTCGGATTACAACGATAAAACTGGCGATTACGCAGCAATAAGAACAGAATTCACAGTCGTTCACCTGTGGGGCAAAGGGAAAAAACAGAGAATTAAGTTGAAGGGTATCTGAAATTGCAATTGGGGTTGTCGAAGAAGCAGCTTCCAAACAGGAATGGAGGTCGAGAAAACGGTAAGACACGCGGAAATTGGGTCAAAGGAGGCCATAGAAGTTCCAAAGGAAGTCCTGATTTGGGGAGGAAGAAATGGCGGGGAGGAATGGGTGGCTAAATTGATGGGAGAAAACAAAACTACGCGAGGATTTCAATATTGAAGATCAAAATACAAACTAATGATTTTGTTGGTGCATATGGCGCGAGACGAGCAACCGCCACTCGGACCACTGTAACGTTAACCACCAACCAATGGAGCGGTCCGGTTCGACCACTCGGGTCGGGTGAGCCCGCCTCTATACTCTTTTAAGGCTTATTTTACATTTTTTTTATTTGTGATTTTACATGTGTGTAAATTTCGTATTTATAATTATAATTTTACATTCTTTAATGCTATAACTTATACCTTACCAGCATGAAGCACGTGAAACTTTAAAGTTTGATTTTAAAGTAAAAAATATAAAAGTTAATTGAAAAATTTTAGAAATTAAAACATAACTTAATTTTATATAAGTTTCCCTTTAAAGTAAAAAAATATAAGAGTAAAGATATTGGTTTCAACATCTTATTATTATTATATGAATATTTTTTATATTCATTTTATATAGCTACATAATATTGATTTAAACATTTTTTTATTCGTTTATTATATGAATATTTTCTATATTTATATAGCTACATAATATTGATTTAAACATCTTTTTATTAATTTACTTATTGTGTCTTTTAATATTCCTTGTTATTTATTTTTTTACTTTCATATGAATATTTTTTTATTGGAATTTAAATCAACACATACGATGTCGTGTGAATGTTGAACTACACTTTATATTTTATCACGATTTTCTACAACAATATTTTATCGTAATTAATTAATTTATTCATTTATCGTCTAAAAATATCACAATATATTATTCACTTATGAAATTTTTATTGTAAATAAAGGATAATTTACTATTCAACTACTCTGAAATTTAATTTAAATATTTTATTCAAATTAATAATTGATTTATATAATACAATATAATATTTATTACAATTTATTTCTATAATTGGGAAAGTTACTTAAGTTATATATGTGTGTATATATATATACTTTTTTTCCTATTTTTACCTCTATCTGCCTAATATTGTAGCTCAAAAATAAAATTAAGTTGATAGTCCAATTACAAGTATTTTGTATTTTTAAACCTAAAGCATAAATTCAAGAAACTCATTTTTCTCTCCTTTCCCTTCACGTGTGTATCGTCTTTCACTATACGTCGTCTTCTTCTATCCAGTACCACTACTGTCTCAATAGTTTTTTCCTTATTGCTCGCCACGATCGTTCCTCTTGGAATCTAAAGCAACCACAACTTGCGATTCGAGTACAACTGTTATGTCATCTGTCTTCCCTGTAACGACTTCTACTATGCCCTTTGGTTAAGTATGGTGAGAACGAAAATCTCACTTTTTTTTTTCTTTTTCAAGTTTTTGAGTGTTCTACCCTTTGCATTTTGTATTTACCTCGCCCACTATGTGTGTGTGTGTGTGTATATATATATATCCCTCGAAAATATGAAAATATGAAGAAGATAAAAGAGTTTTTAGAGTTTAAATGGATTAAAGATAATATTAACACATCAAGTAATGTATTGATGATCTTCTAATTGTAGTATTGATTCACAGTATATAGCAAAATTGAAAAAAAGAAGGGAGAGGCAAATTTAGGGAGAGAAGAGAGAAATTGAAAGAGCGAGAAATTGTATTTAAATTACACAATTGCCATAAAAAAAACAGTGACAAGAGTTATAATAAGAGGGCAAAGATGAAACACACAGTTTTTCCTACTAGTAACTTTTATATATACAATAGACTATAGATGTTTATACTTGTCCAATTCAGCATAGCTCACTATGTCGAAACAACAATAATAATATTATATTCATTCTCAATATGACAATGTAGAGAATTATGAGTAATATTAAATATAATTAAAATTTTTATTGTAAAACTATCGAACCTAATTTAATTGATTAAGGGATATGTTTTCGCAACTTAAACCTAGTTTAATAGTTCAACTCTATTTTCAACTAAAATAGTCGTAAGTTATATATATATATATATATATATGTATATATTCAACCAAAAATAGAGGTGAAATCTCCACTTTCATTGTGTTCAACAATTGTCAACCAAAAATAGAGGTGAAATCCCCACATTCATATGTGTTGAAGAATTGTCAACAAAAGAAATGGAGGTGAAATCTTCACTTTCATGTGTTGATCAATTGTCATGAAAGAACTTAAAAGTTTTTTCTTATTGTATTTCACATATCATCCATACACATTTCTACCCGCCTAACCTAACAAGCAAAATAACAAAAAACAAATATCACTTAATGTTATATAATGTTTAAATTCATGCAAACTCACGAATATCAATTCATTGTCACCTAAATAAAAAAAGGTTAGTCACGTGTTAAATATAACAAATTGATTCTAAAAAATTGACAAATTCATAAATATCAAATAAAATATTTTAAAATTGGATAAAGTGTGTATCATCCATTGAAATGTAGAAGGATTGAATCTTCCCCTACAAATCTTTTTTAATTCATAAGTATTGCATTAAAATTTGAGTCCAAGTTACAAAGATACCTTCAAATGACATAAAATCTCATATTTAATTCATTTAAATTTCATCATAAAGGTAAAATGAAAAATTTGTAATGATTTTTTTTATAACAAATGTGTAGTTTGGAGAATTTGAACTCAAGAAAATGAATCATGTGGTCTTTTAAAACATGAATAAAATCATGTCGTAGTACGAGTTGAAAAGATAAAATAAGAATAAAAAGATAGAGGACTAAAATAAATTTTTTTTGTACTAAAATAAACTTGTTTTAGTATAACAAAAATGAGTTTTTTTAAATGACAAAATGATTTTACTCCCGTCAAAATCATTGTCAAATATATCCAAATTCGCAATTGAACATTTCTTATGTCTCTCGATATTTGTATGCGACGTAATATTCTCGCAAAAAAAAAAAAAAAAAATCACTTCTTGGTCAAGGCCAGTGATTCAGTCAGCAGATCCTGAGCTATAAAACACCAAAATTACTGCTGAAGATTGAATCCATGTTCATATCACTCCGAAAATGGGAGAAAATTTTGCGTTTCGGGGTCGGCGAAGCAGTTGCCTGGCTCCTTCCGCGGCTATAATTCAGCTTCTTGAGGACCCCAGCCACAGCCATGGCGGGCCCCAAGAATTGGTGTCGTTAGCCAGAGATTTCATTCCAAGAACCTCACCCTTGACTTCGCCCACTGCTTCCCAACTTCCCCATTTCGATTTTCTCCTCTCCCATCTCTTTACAGCTCCCCTATTTGGTCCTCCCCTTCAATTTTCACAGCCCTTCTTCACTTCTTTATCAACATTTGTCCATCTTCTAACCATATTTCATAACGTACAACTTGATTGCCCGTTCGTTAATCTTGGTCATTAGCTGATCTGACCGATTGACTTTCAGCTGCCGTGTGAAGACTCTCAAAGGATTGCTGGGTCGTCTCCAATCCCTCCACAGCTTTCTACGTTATTTGGGCATTTTTCTTTCTACCTGGGTTTCTTCCATAATTCCCAAAATCTTCGGATTCATGGTTCCTGAAGTCTTATGGAGAGCGTAAAAGGTTAACACATTATCTGATATTTTCTTCTTTGAGCTCTTTCCTTTTTGCTTTTCTTGGATTGAAATTACAATTTGGGATTCTGTTCTCTTTTTTAGTATCTTCACATTTTATTCTGTTTGGACGCGTTTGATGGGCCAATTTGAATAGTTACTGTAGAACTAGGGAGAGTATTGTTGTCTATATTGATCATCCCTAGGTTCATGTACTGGTTTATCATTTGGATTGACATGGAGAAAAGAAACTAGAAGCAGGAACTGGGACTCTGTAGACTCCATTTTTCTTCTTTAATGGGAGAATTATAGACAACTCTTCCATTCGGATGGTGATTAAGTTTGCGGTTGTTTTGGTGCTTAAAGCATTGTCGAGGTTGGAAGTGAAGGCTTGGCCTCGAGGGCTTGCCACTTTTTTAAATTCCCTTAATTGGCTCAATGAACTTTCAACCTTTTTTCCTTTTTTATTGTAGTTGATTTTCCTGTTTCTTATGGCGAGCTGACATCAATGTCCATGTTTTCTACTGCGTTCAGATCTGTAGCCGAAGAGTCAATGTTTTGGTCATTTTGGGAGGCATGAGATTTTTTTGCTCATTTTGTAATGGTGACGAGAGGGATGAACCAACAAACACAAAATCAACACCAGTTATGTCCACCAATTCCATAAGCACTGAGGTTGAAGTTGGGAGATCTGGTTCTGACATTAATTCGCAAAATGTTTCAAACAGTAGCTCAGAATCCTCGAGGAGAAATTACATACTCAGCATGTCTGAAAGAGCTAGCAACCTCAGAGTTTTCACTGTGTCTGATCTCAGATCCGCTACTAAAAATTTCAGCCGAACTTTTTTGGTCGGAGAAGGTGGGTTTGGATGCGTTTATAAAGGGTTAATCAAGAGTGCAGAGGATCCATCGACAAAAATTGAAGTTGCTGTCAAACAGCTCAGTAAAAGGGGATTACAGGCAAGCTTTCTATCTTGTGATATTCACTAGAAAGCTATTTAGTCTCTGATGAAAGTTTTAGGCCAACATTTTTCTCTTCATTAGTTTCATTTTGAAAATATATTTCTGAGTCAGGTCCATTACCAATGAGTTGTTTTTGTACTTTCATGGAGGATGTCGTATATATTTCTGTCCCCATCTGTATGTCTTATAAGTACAGTTCACACGTCACAATTGTCGATACTAAGTGCATCAATTTATGGCTCTCATATGTTGCCTCTGCGAAAGTATGTTCTGAACCCAAATGTTATATAGTAAACAACTCCATGCTATTTTTGAACTTATTACAGCAAATATGCTACTGAATTGTGACACTATTATTTTCACCACCACGATTTTTCGTTTTTCTTATTAAGTTTTTCTTCAGTATATGTTTATGCAATCATCGATTATCTTGCTTCTTTTGGGTGATAATCAGAAATCATTCAAGGATTGGTAATTTGCATATTGAGGGTCTGCCTTCTTGTTGGCAGGGTCACAAGGAATGGGTGACAGAAGTGAATTTTCTTGGAGTTGTTGAACATCCAAACCTTGTTAAATTGGTTGGATACTGTGCCGAGGATGACGAAAGAGGAATACAGCGTCTACTGGTTTACGAATTTTTGCCTCATGGAAGTGTGGAGGACCACTTATCAAATCGAGCAGAGACGCCTCTTTCATGGGCCATGAGATTGAGAATAGCCCAGGATGCTGCTCGTGGACTAACGTACCTACATGAAGAATTGGATGTTCAGGTACTTTGCTGATATTTCTTCCCTGTGCACTCAGCTTTTCCTCGGATTTCTGTACGTGTATTTTTATTCACTCAAGAACTTTGCAGATAATCTTCCGGGATTTCAAATCTTCGAACATCCTTCTGGATGAGCAATGGAATGCAAAGCTGTCAGACTTTGGACTCGCGAGGTTAGGACCCCCAGAAGGGTTTACTCATGTCTCGACAGCGGTATGATCGATCAGTACCACCTGCTCAAGTCTTAACACATTTTAGAAATTTTAAGATACAAAAGTACTAATTCCAAACGACAAGAAACAAGATGCTGTGGTTTTGTTTATAAATTTGTATGTTTTCTTGGCACTCAATAAATATGAGTACAATGTCCATTAGGTTGTTGGAACGATGGGATATGCAGCTCCTGAATATGTCCAGACTGGACGTCTCACATCCAAGACCGATGTGTGGAGTTACGGGGTCTTCCTTTATGAACTTATAACTGGTAGGCACCCCATAGACCGAAACCGTCCCAAGAGTGAGCAGAAGCTTTTAGAGTGGGTAAAGCCATACCTAACAGACATAAAGAAGTTCCAGCTGATACTGGATCCAAGGCTGAAGGGTAAATCACACCTCAGATCTGCATATAAGTTGTCGAATGTAGCAAACCGCTGCCTCGTTCGAAATCCAAAGAATCGTCCGAAGATGAGTGAGATTTTGGAAATGGTCAGCCAGATTGCAGAGGCGTGGACAGAAACGGGGAACTCTCAAACACCCTTGGAAAGTTTTACATCGTCGAGAACGCCCAAGGCTGCGGAATCATGGAATGATGGTAAAACCATGGATTCTCAACATAGAGAAAACAGTTGGTTTTCGTGTTTACGTGCGACGAAGCTTGTGAGGACATGCTGATTGAAGTAACGGTAAACAAGCTCGGCCAATCGATTTCGGGTGCCAGGTAACTCAGATGATACATGAAATGGATGTTAATCCCATAGCATATGCTTCTCTGTTGTGCAAATAAATGTAGCTAAAAGCAGCTGCTTTTCCATGCACTAAATCCATTAAAAAAATCTGTGTTTTTTTTTTCTTCTTGTTTTAACAAGTTACTAAGTCTGTTAGCAGTGAAGGGGTTGTATTTTATGGTTTTAGGCTTTTAGCCCAAGATAGTCAGCCTGCTTTTTCAAGGCATATGAGATTCAAAGGCTGACTCATCGTAAACAATCATATTCATATAACATTTCAATATACAATTTTTACAATATTTGAGAATTGGATCTTTCCGACTGACATGAATTCAACTTTCATGTACAAATTGATTATTCATTAGACTCAATAATCATCGTAGAATGGTCTAGTGCTAATTGGAACCACAAGATTTAAAATCATATCAGTTTTTTTTTGCAATCGAATATAATAGGTTCAGACAATTGTACTGAGATTAATTGAGAGGTCTGGAAATTGGTCAAGACACTTGGGGATATTTTAAAAAAATAATTAAAGAAAGAAAGAGGCTTGGACTATGGTTCATAATATTGTTATTTCCATTTTTATTTCCAATTTGTGAGAAACGTCAGAATTACAGTGGTTTTCATTTTTGTTCCTCTTTTGGACTCCTAAATTATACATAGAATATGATAGTTAAGAATCACAATCTATTTACTTTGAAATAATAATAACAATGTTTAAAACTAGCCAAAGTGAACATAGCTCCACAGTAATTTGTATATATCTCCCCGACGTTAAAAACTATTTTGGTCTCAATAGAAATCAAAGTTATGTCTTTTGTTTGAATATTTTTTATGCCTTGAATTTTGAGGAGCTATGGTTTTTATAAAATGGATGGAGTAACAGTCCAATACTCTTCAACATAAGTCGATTTGGACCTCCAAACAAATAGGGTTTATCTTTTTCTTTTTTCACATTTTTCATCAACAAAATGTGGGTACACAATTTTCATTGTTCACACAACACACGCAGGTGGGTGGATTTCTAATAGTTAGTATATGAAGAAAAAAATAAAATAAAAAGGAAAAAATCACAGGCATAGATGATATTAATTTAATTTAATGATGTATCTATTAGATTTAGAAATGAATCGAGAAAATATTCCAACTACACCTACATCCTCCTTCTCTTTACTTGTCTATTTTACTCATCTATAAATAGAGTAAAAAATATAGTTTAATTAGAGGGTATATCTCCAGACATCATGTATTAGTATTTTTCATGATCTATATTATTATAGAATACGTAGACCCATTCAGGATTTTCAGTCCTCTGCTCTACCAACTGAGCTATCCCGGCCATTTACGACACATTATCCTTATTTTTATAGATGATGTGGGTCTATGTCATCGAGCATAATTCAAAATTAAAAAAAGATTAGAAGTTCAAATCCATATTTTTATATTTATTTATATTTTTGTTCTTAATTCACTTTCTTATTGAGGTACCATCCCTCACTTAAATGAAATTGATAGATTTTTGACACCTCATTTTTGTTATCTATCAACATCAATTAATGAAGAGAGAGAAGGTCAATGAGACTTTGCTTGTTCTAGTTGTACAAGTATTTTTGCTTATTCTTACAAGCACACCCTATTGGAGAAAAAACTCCCAACACAAAAATGACTTGTGCCTTATATTGATTTCTGAAACAAAAAGGGAAGCAAAATGGCATAATCCCACATGCTAACTTATTTTTCACATTAAGATTGTCTTCTCCTAAGATTCTAATTTGAAGATTCAATTAACACCCATTGACCAACCATATAATATATAATGGTAAAAGTATGTCTGAGCAGCAAATTAGGAAACTTCGTTAATCTATGTTAGATTCTACCAAAGTTAGTAAATTTGTCTGAATTCGATGGTGTCAAAACGAACATAATTTAGTGGTAATTTGCATATGCTTCAAAAAAAAAAGGTTGTGAATTGAGAGTGGGGATTTCAACTCATAATTCCTTACTAGAAACATATGTCAATTAACACTTAGCTAATTTCACTTAACTTAAATAAATTTGTATAATTACCTTTTGAAAATATAGTTTTGATCAAAATTAATTTACTTTGGATTAATTGGGTATATAAGGTTGTCAAAAATTAAAATCAAATTATTCTTTTATGGATCACAAGTCACTAACCATCGCAATAAATAATCATTTAAAATGTCAGTTTGACTTTTAAAATAAGTTCTAATAATGGCAAAACTTTCACGAATAAATTGCTTCGTCATTGCCACGTCATAGTACCAAAACAATGGACTATGATGTAATTTAATGGCTAAATTTCAATGGACCTCTAATTCAAAATTTAACAAAATATCCAATGAACCTTGGTGCATGCCACACGTGCCAAAGCTAATCTCATTTTCATAGGTCACACGTGTGCAGCGTTGAAACAAATTCAAGCCCGTTTTATTGACTTTGTGGGGAGATTTAATCTATTTATTTGATGCAATACACAAATCTAATAATAATAAAATTTTAGTTGTTTTTCTTTTTCAAATATAAAGTCTTAGTTGTTTATTCATTGTAACACCGAGGCGTGTTAAAACAAAAACCAAATGATTAACAATCATTTAATCATGATTCATAATCATCATCTTCCCGCAATATAAACAAAATACCATGGTAGTAATCCATAACCTAAATATGCATACTACGTTCGAATTTAATGTCATCTAAAGAAAAAAATACAAAATTTTCTATTAATTATCTATTTTAAATAAATGTTGGTGTATGTTGTTGGGTAATATATGATCTTAACTTCTAAAAATATTAAAAATTAATATTGTCATAAAATAAAGTTGATGACATAATGTCACCATATATTATTGATAAAATGTAAGAAAGCCTATATTTATCACTACTAGATACTACCGATAGTTTGTGAACTATCTCCAAGCCTTTGTCAAATTCAACTTGAGATCTCTTCTCTCGGTTTCTATTGTGCTTGAGTTGTGGCTATATTTTTCTATTTTTTAGTACTTGTACTTGTCTTTTGATAGGTAATACACGTGTTATTAATAAAATGAGTTCATTATCGATCACAAGTCACAAATTTATATGTAATAAGAAGACTTCAACAATATATTTGTAGTACAAGTCTTTCGTATTATTGCACATCATAATAGATCTAATTAGAATTGTTACCTATAACAATCAATGATCGTGATTTATTTTTAATGCAACACAATACATGTATAACTAATTCAAATAAAATATTAACCAACACAAATATAGTGATAACTGGTATATATTCTTTATCTCAAAATTGGAAGTTCAATCATTCATATATTGAAATTGTTGTACTAAAAAAAATTCAAATAAAATATTGAGAAAAAGAAAAAAAAGAGAAAAACTTAATAGGAGCAAAAATGTAATAAGTAAAAGAAATAGGCATAATTTGGGAGGAAAATGGTCTTTTCACAACGCATAAACCGCGCAGTAACTGTATATAAAGGTCACGAAATGCGCCTTTTTTACAAAATTTGTCGTTGTCATCTATTGCTTCCGTATGCTTCTTTAAATGTGCAGTCCTCTGCCTCTGAGACTTCCTTTCTTCCTCACACATTTCTTCGACAGGAAGCTTCACCCTTCAACCTCGTTGATCGCTCTCAGTTTCGATTGAACTTCAGGTGAGTGTTTCTGATTATTCTTAATGTCATTTTTTCTCTCTCTCATGTGAAACCGATTCGTTGATCCAATCTTCCGTTGACGAATGCTTTCGATTCTTTCATCGTTCTTATGTGTTTTGTCTTCACGTTTTTGCAGTTGCCTTCGTGTACTTGCTGTTGTTTATATGTTCTGTTGTTATTTCTTTGATTTAATTTAATCTTCTCTTGAAGCCTTGGATTCGTTTGCATGGTTTTTCGATCGGCATCTGTAGATGTAAGTGTGTAATCACTTTATAAACCTTAGATGTATAGGAAGGTGTAGTTTGAAGGAAGTTTCGAACATCAACGAGTACTTTATGCGCTATTGATTATTGATCTTGTTTTCGTGCTTGTAATCATCGGCAGTTCGTTCTTTCTCTTGTAGATAAGAGCTTTCGGGGTAGGTATTTCTGCAAACTTGCCAAACAACCACTTCTCTGGGGGAGAAACTACCCCCTCCTTGAATAGTTGTGTTATGAGAAGATGGTCATGAACGATTATGATTCCGATGTCATTAGGTGGGGTCTTGGTTTTTTCAATGGGGATTCATCGTATAGTACCGAATACTTCTCTGACATGGCACAACATGATGTGAATTTTTATGAGCATTATTATGGGAACCATTGCAATAACGAGGTTAACAATGTGGAGAACGATGAGATTATTGCGCACACTCTTCAGGAGGAGTTTTCCCGATTAGAAATTGCAGAGGCCTCAGGCTATTCAAATGTAGAAGAAGAGCATTCCCGAGCATCTAATTTTGCACTTGATTGGAACAATCCCTCCTCAAGAAACTATGGTTCAGGTTCTCACTAATACGAGCCACTTTCTTCTTTCTCCGTATATGTGTGATATTGATCCTTACACGCGCCTATAAAATTTTAATAATCTGCAGAGAGTGATTCTGTTGAAGATGAAGTTGAAACTGGGGAGCTTTCTAGTTCATGTTCTAGTCCAGGTCATGACGAAAATTCCTATCCTTATGGGAATGGTGATCAAGTAGATTGGAGATTGGATCAAATGATTACGGCACCTGTGAGATTTTCTATAATTACATCTGTTTCTCCTATAGATTTATTGTGGAGATAATATTCAACCTTCTATGCTGGTAAATTTGTGCACGACATTTTATGAAGCATGCTTTTTCGCAGGGAATTCTTACTGCTGACATCTTGGAATTATCTATATCTTATTAGAATTAGGAATTGTTTTTCTCATGATAGGGAAATATTTTGTAATGATGTGCGTAGATTCTTTTTTTTTTTTTTGACAGCTGGAGGATTTTGAACTATCCTTGCATCATCCATGCATATGTTTTGTCAGTTTGGCACGGCCACTAGAATTTTAGGGTTTTACATTCTGTAGTTGATTTCTCTTGGAACCATTGACCTAGTCATGCCCGCCACAATCTATTCTCAACATGCTAATTTTTTGTTCTCACTGTTTATTTATTTGTTTGAAGAAACAAAGAATCTTTAGTAGCTATATGGTTTCAGAGGCTAATAACTAGTTCTTTCCAATTTATGTGCTTTATATACATATGTGGGACCCATGATTGTTCGTCTGGCTACTACAAAGTTGCCTTAAAAATTTTCTTGTGATTTGTGCAGCATGTTCCAAGAATTAATGGTGAGATTCCTTCGATTGATGAAGTAACTTCAGATCACCAAAGGTTGCTGGATAGGTAATATCTCAAAAGCTCTCTGTTGTCTGATGTGGTTGAATTTGTAGTCTATTGTTTATAGCCAGCTTGTGTTCGAGTTTCTTTAACTTTTTTTCAGCTTGCTATTTGATGGTCTTTTAGAATATGATTGTTGTTTGACATTGAATTTTGGGTTTTAATTGTCATGACCGTCCTCTGTCTTCTCAATCTTAGGTTGAAAGTATATGATTTTGTCGAACGAAAGGTTAAAGGAGATGGTAATTGTCAGGTCAGTTGTTTCTCAGGCATGTGATTCTGGTCACAATTGAACAGTTTGGATTGAACATGACATACTCATATTAGTTTCCAATTCTCAGTTCCGTGCTTTGTCAGATCAACTATTTGGAACATCTAAACGCCACAGGTTGGTGAGACAAAGTGTTGTGAATCAGGTTTGTCATTGTTGCTTATAGCTTTATGCTTGTAGTTATTCTTCAGGTATACTGGATTATAACCTATTTATCATGGATTTCTCTCTCCCCTTTTTTTTCCACCAGCTCAAGTCGCATCGGGAGATTTATGAGGGATATGTTCCCATGGGATATGATGATTATTTGGAAAAGATGATCATGTATCACTTGAACTTCTATTTATTTCATTCTTTTCAGCCCCATACTCTAGTTCTGTTTGGATAATTCTTGTTACACTTCATTTGAAATGTTTCTAGGAGCGGCGAGTGGGGTGATCACGTGACACTACAGGCAGCTGCCGATTGGGTATGGTCATTGCAAGAAATTGTCTCCGGCTTCTAAGTGTTTTCTTTAGATAGTGTTGAAAGTTTAAAATGTGATTGTTGTTCTTTCATGAAGTTTATCCAAATCAACCATCATGGTGTGACCTAGTGATCAATAAGGGCCAATATAAATAGCAAAGGGCTTAGAGAGAATGAGTTCGAATCATGGTAGCCACCTATCTAGATTTACTTTGGCAACCAAATGTAGTAGGGTCAAACGGTCCCGTGAGATTAGTCGAAATGTGCGCAAGCTGGCCCTGACACTCACGGGTATTAAAAAAAAAAGAACGTTACCCAAATCTTTAAATAATTTTCTACTATGTTAATCTTTAGAATGACTAAAAAAAAGGAAGTAAACTCGTGTAAGAGATTTGAAAGTTGTAGGTTCGACCATTTTTGCGTATTTTTACCTATCTGGATTATACTTTTTACTGTGTTAGATGTTCCATTGTGTCAATGGGCGTCGGAACAATGTCTACCTGTGCTGCCATTTACTTGAATGAAGTTGCTAGATTGATATGAAATTTAAAAAAAAAATCCATATCCTAATTATATCAAATAATAACCTTGATAACTCCTTCCCCGATCACCAATCCCCTGACTATGTTCCTCCCCCACGTCCTCCTCCCTCTTTTCTGCTTTATTGTCTTTAGAAATTTGTCATTTATGAATCTAAATGTGTCAATGACTGTTTTATGTTGCAGTATGGCGTTAAAATATTTGTTATGACTTCTTTCAAGGAAAACTGTTGTATAGAGATTCTCCCTAGTTTCCAGAAGAAAAAACAAGGTAAATTCTTAACTCAATACTTTTGTATCAACTTGAGTAACTTTTCTGGTTCCTTTACCTGGTTATGGGCCTGTAATTGACCCAATATTTTGCTGTTTTACTTGGAAAATGGCCATATTTAGTGCATTGCAACTTTTTTTTTTTTTTTCTAAAATTGCTTTTAACCTCTCACCAGCAGCACTTTACTTTCTCATTTTTTTCTCCTATTAATTGAGTAAATTTAACTGGAAGAACTAAGAAGATGGTCTGCGAAAGTTTATTCAACTGTGCTGTTCTTTCCCGTCCGCAGAATTCATGCCCTGTTTTCCATTTCTTTTTTGTCTCATTTGTTGTATCCGGGGTGCTGTCAGACCATTATATCTTTCCAACAAAACAAAACCCATCTCTTTCGTACAAAGGAGGCAATTCCAATATTCACCTTATTGACTTCCCTCATTTTGTAATCCACCATTCTTTATTATTTTTTTTTATTAATCAATAGAACGTTGAACCAATAATACATGTATGTAATTTCGTTTCCAGAGAGCTTCACTTTTTACTCCTTTGTGCAATATGCAGTAATTTTTCTAAGCTTTTGGGCAGAGGTGCATTACAACTCAATCTATCCTCAAGGAGGTAACTATTTTACTCTTCTATCCCTGGTGAACTTGAAGCTGTCTTATATCATAACTTACAAATTCTCACTCACGTTTTTTAGTCAGAAAAGTAACATATAGAAGGTTCATTTTTTTTTTTATCTGCACTAAGATCCGAACAATTCGCTTGATTGAGCATGAATATTGATTCTGTAGTTTTAACTCTCCAATTTTAATGGTCCAGTCTTCACTTTTGATGTCTTTGACGTTTTGTGCTTGGGAACACTAGCTGCTAACTATTTATGTCAAAACTCCATATTCATTTAGATGTTTCCTCAGTTGCAGATGAGCAATCAAACGATTCTAGAAAGAGGAGGAAATGGTGGATTTTCGGGAATAAGCATTAAGACTCCAGACAACAGGTGCAATAAGTCTTAACCTCTCCTGCATCTTCCCTTTGAGACTCGTGGTCTTATTTAAATTCTGAGAAGACTTCTCGTGCCCCCCTTTATTTTTATTTTTATTTTTTCTCTTTTTTATCAATAACCCCATCTGCAATTTATTGCACGAGTTAAAATTTGGGGGAGGACTCGGGAGAATTCATATTGACTTCAATGACTAGACTCGAATTTTTCAATTTGTTACCAGATAAACTCGCTCTGTACTGCTCTGGATCATACTTACAATATTACATTAAGTAAATGAATAAAATTTGCAGGATTCTAGCACCGGATTGACCTCTTGCTTCATGCTTCGTGTGAAATGAATGCAATAAACATGGATTTTAGTTCATGCGCAGCCGTTTAGAAGTTCTATAGAATGTAAAATTCTTGCATCTTATTTCCATGCATTTCTACGGAAAAACTATTTGTAATGACCACATTTTGTCTGCCATTTCAACAACCTACCTTTAGATCTGTTCTTGAAAAAGCATTTTATAGTCTCTCGTGTTGGCCATTCTGAATGATTTCTCCATTTCTACAAATCTTTAAGCTTTCCTGCTCTTCTAAAGAAATGCAAATTTTGCCTATTCTGCAACAATCAGAATACCCTGTGTTCCACCATCTCCTAGATATTGTCTTCCATTTTCTTTTGTTCATACTGAGAATTAAAAGTGCAGAATGGGTCATTTTGATTTTTCATTTGAGCTCCAATACTTTCTTCACTAGCATAGTTCTGTTTCTCTTTGTAGACCAAAGCCAACAGAGGATTGGAACAGGGGAGGCATTCCCCAAATACAGATGATATTTTGACAGAAAATATTTGAGTATTTGAAACCTCTCCTCATCCTGATCTGAAAGATTCTTTCTTTTGTAGACTTTTAATTATTTAAGTTGACAAAAGAAATAGTCAAAATATTTAATTTCCAATACTAGGAATGTTTGAGAACTGTCCCCATTTCATGCCCCCACTGAAAATGAAAATATAATGCTTTGATGCTAAGAAGAAGACCATATCGGCAATGGTGGGTCCATTCAATCAGTTTAGCCAGAGAAGATCTTTTAAATTAAAAAAAAAAAATCGAATTTCCATAGCAGTAGAAAATTATACTGTTTCTTCTTCCTTTATAAATTCCAGCCAAAACCACAACCAGAGCGAGAGGAAGGAGAAAGGAGAAGAGCTGATTAAAGGGTAAATTTCATACTGCAATTTAAACTGCTATCTGTGTCTATTTGATTGATCATCTCAGTTTACTATTGGTCTCTGAAGACCTCCTCTTCCTGCCTCTCCTCTGCCTCGTCCGCCGTCGACGGCTGCAATAGCAGCGCCGTAAACGGCATGTGGCGGTAATCATTGCCGGCGGCAGCGTACTCCATCCCGAGCGGCTGGCATAAATCCAGGCGGCAGCTCGGCGGCGGTTGGGGCATCACGAACATCCCCTGCCCACCGCCCACCGGCACCGGCTGAACCCTACAAGAAACAGACGGAGCGGACGACGCGATAGCCTGGGAGGCGGTGGAGATCGGAGCAGCCGGAACAGTGCCGGTACCAGTGGCGGCAATGATCGAGGGCTCGGCCTGACGGAGAAGCCACTCTATGGTCTCTCCGTCGGAACGATGGCCAAGCTCGCGCGTCAACTGAAAGATGCGGGCGGCGCACAGAGCCGGCATCCGGACGCGCCGCCCTCTGCCGTTGACCTTCGTGTGGCGGTCCCTCGAGGATGACGACAGAGCAGTGGCGGAGGTGGATTTGCGAGGGAGTACGAGTTGCGCCGTCGTGTTGGCCCGTGCCGAGTCGGCGGCGGCGGGCTGAGAAGAATGGGGATCGGAGGGAGAAGGAAATTTGTGGAGAACGATCTCCGATCCCATAGTTTTTATACTGTGATTTTTGATTTTGAGAAGAGGAAGAAAATTAGGGTTTTAGGGTTTGAGAGTGGAGGTGGTGATGGTGAATGAGAAGAAGAGAGGGAAGCGATGAGAATAAAAACACTCCCTCTCGGCTCTCCCACTGCACGGAGTCGGAGAGTGGATGCATGGTTCAGTTCTCATGTGGGGTCCACTTAATGTTTGGGCCCTACTGTGCTTCCAACGAGTGGGCCCGGTTCGTTGATCCCATTTTCTTTTTAATATAAATATATATATTTATTTATTTCAAGAATAAGCTCAAATTCCTCCTCTGGAATTCTATCTTTGTAAATTCTTTTTAAATGTTTTTGTCATCACTCAAAATTGACGACTTACTCTTTGAGTTTAAGAAAAATATCAGCGTTAAGTTAAGTTGTAAAGTTTGGAGAGATTTAATTAAATCATAATAGCTTTTAAAGTTGGTAATGTGTTTAGTTCAAACTTCATTTCAAATTATCAATTTGGGCATAGGTCGACTAATTCGTGAGATCGAATGTCCAACCCTCATATGATGTATTAGTGAAAAAAAAAAGCTTAATTTCAAATTGGTTCTTATACTTTTAAAGATTTGAACTTATGACTCTTAAAATCAGTTGAATTATACTCGGAACGATGAAAAGCAACATGAAAAGGAAGGTTTATTTGGGAGAGTTTGGAATTCCAGAAGGAAAAATTTATATGGGCCTGGATGTGAAAACTGGCAGTTGAAAAGGGCCTAATATCATTCCGTCAACTAACCCAACAAGTAAAGAATCCATTCCTCAATCTCAATGATTTCTCATTTTCTTGGAACGAAAAGAGAGAAATCTGAAGCAGAGACAGTATATAACAGAAACCTGATCCATTTGAAAGAATCCAGTCTCCATTTTGAGGTGTGAATTACTCTGTGAAACCACTGAACGAACCTCTCTTTCTTCTTTATCCATAAACCCACCCATCACATTTCTCTCTAAATTTCTCTGAAGAAATCCCCAGAAAAATGAGAACCCAGATGTTTTCAGAGCCTCAACAGTGAGATAATTCCCAGTCTACAGTTCTAAGACACCTCCTCCATGTGAGAGAGATTACGTATGGAGGCTGGACTCAACTTGCTCTCTATTTCCAGATGCCACCCGAGAAGTTTCCTTCATCCTTCTTCTTCTTCCTCATCCTCCTCTTCTTCAGGTAGTATTCGCAGCTTCATATTTTGCTCATTTCTGTGCTTTGTGTGGGATTTTCTTGTTGCATTTAGCTCAAATTTGAAACTGGGAGCGTTTCCTTTAAAACATTTGGAGTTGGGTTTGCCTTCATTTGCATTTTGTAACGCTTAAAATGGCAATTTCTTGTTCAATTTGTGTAAACATTATTTGATTGATTTTTCTGAGTCGAGTGGTGCCCCCAGTAGCAATTTGGAGAAAGCGTTATGTGGGATTTTAGAATCAGTTTGTCAGAAATGAGGCCTCATTGTGCTTGGCTTCCTAGAAGCTGCTTTTAACCGTTTTTAACTTTTTTGAGTATGCAACCAAACACCATGAAATATTTGAGATATATTTCTGATTCACTAAAAGCTTGGAAAGTCATACCGAACTCTATGCTCATCTCTTTTGTCATTTAGTTTTTCTAAATGATCTTTTTACACATACATACATGTGTATAGAAATGCCACATCTATTCAGGTACATGTATGTTTTGAAATCTTGCAGTTTATATGCTTCATGACCAAGCGACTCCGGCTCGATACTTTTCAACCTCATTTATTCCACAAGAGCAGCACCATGAGTGTAGACCTCAATCACAAATACTTAAGGATGATAAAACATCCCAGGTTAGAATTCTCTTTACTTCTGCATTTAAATTAGATCATTGTATTATAATCTCCCAAAAACACAGTATTGTATATAAAACTATACTAGTGTTTTGTGGCTTTCTACTTATATACAATTTTCTCTCTGTGTATCGACAATGGTAGAGAATTGTTGCATGTTTTTTTTAGGATATATACTCTTTTATTGGTCTGAGAGTGCTGTTGCGATCTCTGTTAAAATGTGTAATGTCTTAAGTTCACTGAGCATTCTCTGACCAACAGTCCCTGTGTCTGTACCGATGTGCGGATCATGTTTTGCCAGTTTCCACTTTTACACACATGCTCTGTCTCTCTCTCTCAAACACACACACACAAAAGTATGCATATTTAAGTATTTATATGTATCTTCGGGAATTCTAATTTATGGTTCATTTGATGCCCTTTGTGAAGATGACTCTAGATAGGAGGCTGATCGAGAGGAGTGTTTCAATTGATGAAGGGAGCCGAATTGGGCACGATCATCTAGTCTGGGAACTAAAGCATCAGGCGGCTGAGTGGCCTGGTTTATTATCCTCGTAAGATCAACTAAACTTCCTTCTCCTGACCACTTTTATCAATATATAGATGGAAATTCGCATCGATAATGTATCCTTTGATATTGAGTAAACACAATTATTTTGCAGATGGCCATCCTTACAAATGGGGGAATATAAGATCTCGTCAGTGGAAAAGCAACCTAATAACACCAGTAGGAGGGAGATTCTTGTTGAAGATGAACCAGAGGACGTCATTGCTCTTGCCAAGAAAGCTTTGTCAGCCTCAAAACAAGCAGCATCATTAGTCGAAGAGTCTGAATTAGTTGGAACTAACATTGATTCTTCTTCTTCTTCTTCTTCTGAGGAGTAAGTTATATTTTTGTAATCTTATGTGAAATTCATGATAACCACATTTGGTATAATAGTTTTATAATCTTTCTCATATTGGGATTCATTGGATAGTTCTCTAAGGAAGGAGGGTATAGCTGTAAAGTCAACAAGGCTGCAAGATAGACGATCTAAGAGAAGAAGGGTGCCAAAACATGTAACAACAATTCACGAGACTTATAATTTGAGGGGAAAAGATACACGGCGAAAAACAAATGAAAATTTTGATCCTAACGATCCTCTACGATTGTTTTTATGGGGTCCTGAAACAAAGAAGCTTCTAACAGTTCAAGAAGAGTCTGAGTTGATTGTCCAAATCCAGGTACACATGTGAAGGCTATCTGTTTTTCGTTTTTTGTATGTCTTCTATTCATTAGGATTGATATTCATGCTTTACTTTAAACAGGATTTAATGATATTAGAGAACGTGAAAGCTAGACTTCAATCTCAGTTTGGGCGTGAACCAACTTTGGTCGAGTGGGCTGAAGCCATTGGGATTACTTGCCAACACTTACAGTCACAGCTTCACTGCTTTCGGGTCAGTCGTGAAAAGCTGATTAATGCAAATTTGCGAATGGTAGTTCACATCGCCAAAAAATATCAGGGCCGTGGTCTTAGCCTTCACGACTTATTGCAGGTTATGCCCTAACTATGAGGGGTGCATCTATGGTGCAAAGCCCTTACTCTCTCCCTTTCCATTTGGTAGACGAGTTCAATTGTCAAAATTTGTAGGCGGGCATGCTGAGCAGAGTGCTAGACATGTATTTCTCGAACCTTCTGCTCGAGGCACTGTGCTTAAAGTTGAAGATTTTATTGTTTGTTTGTTTGTTCTAAAATCTCTCTTTTTTCATACATTTGTCTGTCTATCTATCTTATTCTTAAGTATATACCTTTGCATAATTGTTCCCCCTATTTTAAATGATATACCCAAATTATATCTTGAAAACAAATATAAGATTTGAAAAATTAGGAATTGAATACGGTGATCTACATGATACATGGTCTAAATTATAATCATGAACCTTTTATGTGGAGCTTCATTCATGTGGGATGTAACCCAAACTTGAGTTTCATGCACATTTTCACTACTAGTTCTGTTGTACACACACATCCTCCTCTACATTATCACACACAGCACTCTCAACAATCTTGCTGGTAGAACTATTCCTTCTCATGTATAGCCGAGGGCATTATGTGAAGTCCTGCTCTGCACATGAATTATACAAATGACTCAAAATTAAATGATTTGAATTGAGGGACTGATTCAAGGTTCAAGATTTTATTAGAGTATTATTTTGGAAATATTGGGAATGTTATTAGGATTTTAATAGTGGCATAATTGTAATAGGAGATAGCCTTCTATAAAGGCTGTTAATGTTGTAATTTTCCTTTGATATTACAATATAATTTTGGTGTTGTTTTCTCATAATCAGGATCCTAATAAATTCTTATTAAATATTTTTGTTTACTATTTGGAACGGATTCCCCTACCTAATATGCTGAGAAATGAGAATATGCTACTAATATTTCATGTTTCATATCTGATATCTGATATTGTCTTAGGAAGGAAGCTTGGGACTTATGAAGAGTGTCGAAAAATTCAAACCACAAGCTGGTTGCCGCTTTGCCACGTATGCTTATTGGTGGATAAGGCAATCAATCAGGAAGGCCATATTCGAACACTCTAGAACTATTCGTTTACCGGTAATGACAAATTTTTAGTCTTTATGTTTATTCTTGAAGAAATATGAAATTTCACTATTCAGTCAATATATATTTTTTTAGATGGAAACTGAGTATAGCGAAATCACATTAATATTTGCAGGAGAATGTATATGGCCTCCTGGGCAAGGTAACAGAGGCAAAGAATTTTTTTGTCCGAGAAGGGAATTATAAACCATCTAAAGAAGAATTAGCTGCACATGTTGGAATCACAGTTGAGAGATTGGATAAGTTGCTTTTTATGTCCAGAATTCCGCGTTCTTTGCAGCAACCCGTATGGGCTGACCAAGATACCACTTTTCAGGTAGCTTTCACTTCTCTCCCGGATGAAGTTAGAAATTTTTGTAAGGAGCGACAATTTTACATTTTAACTTTTCTATATAATTTTTTCAATTTTTAAAATTTAGGGGCAAGAAAATGTTAAAAATCAGGAAAGAAGGGGGGCGCGCTAGCGCACCCTTGCTCTAGTAAACCTTTCSAGCCAAGCCCCTTCATTATTATTAGGTTGAATCTCATTTAGATATATTTTTTTTAATTTAAGACAAACTTGCCCTCTGTTTCCTTCCATCCTTCTTGTCTCCACTCTTGCTTCTCTTGACATTTAACCAATAAAGTAGGACATAAAATTGAACAAAGACAGGGTATATGACTATTAAATACATACTCTTGCAAATCTAGTTCTACTTTGTTGGAAATTTGGCTCAGAGGAAAGCCACATTTATTGCACCATGCAGATTTTCTAATAATAGTTGAGATGCCAATGACTTTCACTTAATAGGAAAGCTGTTTTAAATGTGAAAGAGGAAAATTATGTCAGGACTAAAGACCAAAGTGACATGTTTCCCCATGTTTGGAGATCCATTTGGTTTTTAGTTCTATCATTTGTCTGTTGTCCAAAAGTTTCTATTAGTTTGTCACTGGATAATGATTATGAGTTGTTGATGTCATTTGAAGATATATTATGGAACTAGTTGCTACAATTTAATAATGAAACCACAGATAGATCATAGGTACATAGAATTGTTTTGTCGGTCGTTTAATGTATAATATATTCATCCAAACATCCTGCTAACAAGCTACCTACCATAATCTGAGAATGACTCTAAATCAAATTACAGGAAATAACTGCAGATTCTGAAGTCGACACCCCAGATGTCAGTGTGGAAAGGGAGCTGATGAGAAGGCACATTCGGAATCTCCTTAGCATTCTCAGTCCAAAAGAGAGGCGGATAATTAGACTACGATATGGCATCGAAGATGGTAAAGAAAAGACACTGTTGGAAATTGGCAACATGTTTGGTTTGTCCAAGGAGAGGGTGCGGCAGCTTGAAAACCGAGCTTTGTACAAGCTCAAACGATGCTGCAACAGCCAAGGACTTGGTGCATACGCTGATTTACTGACTTGAAATCACATGGTCAATACAATTTGCTGTAAATGCATCAGCTGGTTTGAACATTTCATCTTCCAAACGACAATATCAGAAGCTGTGGGGTTTGAAAATTTTGAAGAAGCTATTCTATCTGTCAAGAATTATTCAGGATACAAATCAGTCACAAACAGCCTTTTCAATACTTTTCAAGTCAACAGCTATGTATATCAGTATATGAAGGTCTTTTATATTCTTTCTTTAGGTGCAGCATCTTCAAGATGTTGAGCAATTGATACTGATAATAAAATGCTGACATCTCCATTGTATCTAATTTAAATCCATTTCAGAGATGAAATTCAATGAAAGTAGAGAGAAACAACTTTTTTTTTTCCAACAACAGTACAGTACCGACCAGGAAATCCTCCTCGAATGGGGTTCTGATTTGGAGCGAGTATGAAGAAACTAACAATACTTCTTTATCTTGACAATTGAGGAGAATGATAATTGCAAAAGAAACACAAGGTTTATGGAATGCAAATCAATCTTGTTCTTCCTCCCTCTTGCTGTGGCTCACTTTGAACTTTGAACTTTGAAGAATGAAGGTGGTAGCAGAGAAATTAGTGGGAACTGGAAAGTGTTGGTTAAAAGAGAGAGATTTTATAAATATCATAAATAAAAGAGGGATGGAATAAAAATTCTAGTGTCATAATAAATAATAAAATCTTTTAATGGAAAACTAAGTTGGGAGAAATGATTGTGTGGATAGTGAAAGATGGAGACCCATCATTCAAAAAGGCTTTCCTAAGACCAACAAGACCAACTCATGCTGGCTTAGCACATGGCAGGTCCCATTTTTACAGAATCTCCAACTTTCCTGCTTGCCTTAATATATTTTATATAATAATAATAATTAATTATTATTATTATTTTTTTTAATAGTTGAGAGTCGGAGCTTTGCTTCCTTATCAATAGGGCACTCATAAGTCATGCCCATCCAAAATCTAGACCCAAAAGATATAAAAGAATTTTGGTATGGAGCTCAAAGGTTTCGAACTTGAGATTTCTAAATCTATTAATATATATATATATTATATTATATTATATTATATTATATGTTTCACCCTCAACTTCAGCTTCACCTACTTCATCCCATTTTCTTCATTATTATAATGGTAAAGTATTGAATTTTGAAAATTACTCATTAGTTTTTAATAATATTCTTATAATTTACTTTCTGGGTCCCTTCCTTTGCCTTTTATTGGTAATGTATCATTTAAGGTACATGAATTTGAAATTCCCTCTATTATACATTGAATGTCATTAATATAGGGATTTTTTACCACTGTCATAAGGGGATTTTTTTTAAGTACATACTTGTGAAAGGATTTGATCTCATGATTCTTTGGTTAGAAAATATATGTCAATTATCGCAAGAAGACTTCTTGTTTAAATTCTATTGTCGGAATAAATCAAATCATAACCTCACGAGAATAGAAACAAATAATTGTATGGTTGGGTTAGTTTGATAGTAACCTTTAAATAATCTTCGTGATAATTAATGGATTGAATTCTCCCTCACACATCATTGAAAATAAAAACAATAACATAGCAAAAGAAAATTACCACTTGGAAAAATGGGGTGAAAGGAAAGAAAAATGTGTGGCAGAACATTGGCCCATTCTTTGTTTCATGTGCTGCTCTCTCTGTTACCTATTCTTGCTCGTAAATGGTGGGATCCATTTCCCCAACAGTAATTTACACACACACAAAAAAGATCCATCTTTTTTCTTCTTCTTCTTCTTCTTGTTTCTCTCTCTCTCTCTCTCTCTCTCTCT